ACGAGCTTGAAGGAAATTTTGTTTGGGAAAAAGAGAATCAGTTTAGGTTTTGGGTTTGTTATGAATGTCGTTGTAACAGAATGTTGGTCTTCGTTTTGTTTTGTTTTCTGAGACAAGGTTTTTCTATAATACAGTCCTGGCTGTCCTGGAACTTGCGCTGTAAACCAGGCTGTACTTGAACTTAAAGAGATCTGCCTGCCTCTGCCTCCCAAGTGCTGGGATTAAAGGCGTACGCCCCCACTGCCTGTCAAATGTTAGAGGTTGCAGTAATCCTGCAGGTGCACCCAGGCGATCTCCACCTTTTATGGGTGATGGAATGGAGGCTGAAGATTTTAACATAATTTGTAGGTATTTACATTAGTTGACAGAAAGAGAAAAGTTGCTTCTTGATTTTAGCTCAATTTTTCTGGTGTTCCCTCCCCCCCTCATTTTAGCGTTTCATGGAGCCTGCAGGTTTGGTTGGTTCCAGTTTGAGGAAATAGGAGTAGTTGCATTCCTAAGATAATCAAGGAAGGCAGACCTTTTAATTCCATTCACTGGGACTTAAGAAATTTAAAGCAACCTCTATTGTTTTATAACTCCTGGAGATTGACCTTGGTCAATTTGCTATGATTTCAGTATGGGTTTTCCTGTGTTTACACAGGCTCTGTGGGTCTGAATGCCATGCCATCGTGTCATAGTCGTGGCTCTTAGGGGTCTGAGTGCCATACTGTCATGTCATAGCCCTCGGCCTGCGGTTGAGATTGGGAAGAGCTTGAGAAACCCTGGGTGTACTAAGCACGGTCTTGTCGGCATCATCACCAGTTGTTGAGCTCCCGAGGCGGAAGATATCAGTCACATTTCCTATGGTAGACTTCGTTGTGTGTATTTTTGGAATGGAACCGTAACTAATTTGCTTATAAACCCAAGTCTGGGTTCCCGGCTTCTCAATATAAAGGCTTCACAGAGATCCAATAGGGTGGGTCTGGACTTTACTAGGTAGGTGGCCATTTGTGACATGAATATTTTTAGTAGTCAGAGATTTCTTTTTAAGAAACGGCTTTCCAGGGTTTATGCTCGCTGTCATGGGGACTTGGTGTCACTCTTTTTGCCTTTAGCCAAAGGGCTGCCTTTGGATCTGTAAGCTGTCCTTGACCCGGCCGTTGGTCTTTCCTTGCAAAGAGTAGTCCATGACACACAGCAGTTCAATTTCCACGTTATATGTATGAACCCACACATACATGTGCGTGTGTGTGTGTGTGTGTGTGTGTGTGTGTGTGTGTGTGTGTGTGTGATCACTCCAGGGCATTGGTCATGATAGTGAAATACTTTATTAATGAGCTGCATCCCAGCCCTGTATAGTGTCTAGAGTACTTATCATTACTTTATGTTGATAAGTCCTTAGCAGGTAGTCAAGGCTCGCAGTCACCAGTCTGCCTTTGATTGCTGGAGGACATTTGTGTGCTTATTAGTGATCTTGAATATCTTGTTTCTGCACTTTTCATTGCATAATGTGTGACCTAGTTTGTCTAATCCATTGAAAGGATATTGCAAAGTTAAATGAAGGATGGTGTTGTTGCTTTGCCAAAAAAAAAAAAAAAAAAAAAAAAATGCAAGTAGCCAGGCTGACCTTGAATTTGAGACCCTTTGTCTTAGCCTTCTGAGTGCTGGGATTTCAGGTATGTCACTACAACCAACTTAATGTGCACATGCACAGTAAATAGACATAATAAAAATATAAAAGTTATTGTCTTTCTCCTCTTTCCTTTTTAACAGCTATAGAGTTAAATGTAGATCAGTGGTGAAAGGCCAAATCTGGCATGCACAGGCCCTTAGTTCAAGTCCCCCACATAAACCCCAAACCTAGCAACATTAAAACCAATTAATAAAACAAGAGGGTGGGAGAAAGAAAGAGAAAGAGGAGAGAGGTGAGTAGCCTTGTTAAAAAAGCTGTGTTTGCTTTTTGTTTAGCCATCTGTGTTTGGGATGGAGCCCAGGGTTGCTACTTACACTTCTTAGCAAACAACTTTACCCTTGAGCCAGGAAAGCTGTCCACCTCCTGTCTCTCTGGCTGGCCACTGAGTTTCCGTACCTGTCTTCACCTACCCACGCTGGGGTTACAAGTGTGCACCATCACTCCTGGCTTTTCTCTATGGGCTCTGGGGAGTAAACTCAGGTGTTTATGCTTACCAAGCAACTGATTGAGCAATGAGCCATCCCCAGGCCCCCTCCCCCTTTATAAACATTAAATTTTAAGTTGTGGAAGAAATAGAGCCCGTAGTTTTGGCAGTTTAATGACTTGCACTTAAAATCTAATGCTTAGTGGTATCTGGGAGAGCTTCAGAGGAATGATAAGGGAGGCGTACAGATCTGCTTGTTATTTTATGAAGTACATAATTCAGAATGGTTCTTTCACATTAGTGGTAGAAGAAAAGGGTCCATAACTCAGCTGAGAGCACAGGGCGGGGTGAAGAGAAGTTGTTTGTCACACTGGCTAATGGCAGGGACAGCCTCTTACTGAGTGGGTCCTGAAGCCCTTGCCCCACCTCGCCTCATCTCCCCCCCTTCCCTCTTATCACATATTTATTTATTTTTTTATTTTAACGGCCTTGCTCTATCACCCAGCTGATATGGGCTTCTGGGCTCTATTTTCCTTCCTCACTGTTGGTGACTGGGACTCAGAACACTACCAGCACCAGCCTTTACACTTCCATGTGTAATTTATAGATGAATGTGTAGGACTGCACAGTGAAAGAAGATTAAGTATGTTTAGTAGAGACCAGTGATTTAATCAAAGCTAACATGGCTCATTTTAACAAATAATAATTTGAAAATTGAGTTAAGGTAAAGGTTAAAATGGAAACAAAGTTCCTGGGAGTCAGAGTCCTGGACTCCTGGACGCCACAGATCTGAGTCTGCACTGCAGGGACAGCTCTGACTGTCAGTGGGTAGTGGCAGACGTGCACCGTGTGCCGGAGGTTCAGCCTGAGCCACTGATGGGACAAGTCCCAAAGGAAGCTGCTTTTGAGGAGTTGTTCTCTGAATAAAATGTACCATGGTTGAAATGCTGAACTAACCCAGGGGTGTACTTAGAGTCAAATCCTTCTTTACCATGCCTGTTCTCCAGTCCGGATTCTTTGGCATTATAGTTCAGACTGGCAGATCTGCTCACAGATAATTTCTCTTGTGTGTCAACAGTTTTTTTTTTGGGGGGGGGGGTTTACATTATTTTGAAATAATTTGACTTCATGCACTTATTTCCCATCAGTAAGATGAACTTCATTTGTTTATTGATTCTGAGATGAGGGTGTTAGCCAGGCTGTCTTAGAACTCCCACCAGGCTCAAGCCATCCTCCCACCTGAGCTTCCTGAGTGCTGGGATTCCCAGCATGCATTGCAGCCTCATCTAGGAACTTGTTCCCCTACCTAAGGAGAAGACACCATCTTATGCCTAGATTTTTCTGATTATTGGGCATCTTAGTTTTCAGTCAATTACAGTTTCCTTATAGAGATACATTTGTTTGCTTTCAGGTGTGACGTGAGTTGAAATGCTGTATAGGTGAAGGGGTGAGGATTATGTTTTGAGGCTGAGGGAACAGAGTGTAGTTTGAAGACAGTGGCGAGCTGTTGGCCAGGAACAAGTATTCTGGCTTCTGTGCCATGTTTGCCGCCTTCTGTGTTCTTGAAGCATATGCAAGAAGATCTCATTTATAATGGCACATGCTTACTGAATAACTTACAGTTCTTTTACATTTTTGAGACTTAAAAGCTTTGGAAATGTGTGTCCTTAGATGCAGCTGATAAAGTATTTATTCAAAGGTCACCCAAGGTATTTATGGAAATAGGAAATAGAGTTTATATCCTGCCGTCTTTTGTTTGGTCCGTTGCTTGAGAATAGGAAAGTAGTCTCCCATTACTATCCAATTAAAACAAATTTTTCATAGTTCTTAAAAATAACTATTGGAAAATGGCTAGGACATTAAGTAGGTGAATGAACATGGAAAATGGTATGGGGATATGGTTGGAGCTCTGTGGTCAAATGTCTGCTTGGCATGCCTGAGAGTTTGGATCCCATTGTCAGCACACACAGAGAGCATATGTAACTTGTTTTATTACATACCATTTTTAGTATGAACTCTTACCCTTTAAATGTTTTAATTGCAGCCGTTTTATTTTAAGCATTTGCACTGTTGGAGCGTGCCTTGTGGTGGCTTCAGTTTCTTTCGCTTTGTGGTTAAGAGCGTCTGGCTTACTGTTTACTTCTTTTTGTATGACCTAACTTTTGCTGATTTTTCTACATTAAAATTATATTGACAGGAGAAAAATTGTCTTTATGAGTTATTTCTCGTAGTAAAAAGCCCCTTTGGTTGTTAGTGCCTTGCTCTTTGGTTTCTTATACTTTGCTGTCTACAAATCAGAGTCAGTTAAGTCTCAAATATTAAAATGTTTTACTGTGTTTTTTTGAAATTAGGCTTTTGAAAGATTTTATTTGACTAATATCCTTTCTATATTTTTTGGTGTCTTGCTTACATACTCTCAATTTATTTTAAAAACCACACAAAACAGTTCAGAATACTGTTATTAATTTGAGTTGTATTAGTGATTAAAAGTAAATTAGCTTGGGGATGTCATGATGGCTTGGCATGAGGACCACCTGGTTTTCTTTTGGAGGACCTTGGTTCGTTTCCCCACATGGCATCAGAAACCTCAACTGTCTCAACTCCAGCTTCAGGGCATCTGACACCTCGGGCGTCTGTGGACCCTGTGTACTTGTGCATAACCACATGCAGACACCCATAATTACAAGTAATTAAAATAAATGTTAAAACAAGTTGTCCTAATGTATTCCATTGTTAGCTTAAACTATCATTTGTGGCATTGCATGGTCATTACATTTACATAAAGGGTAATTTTTAACTATTCATACCTGTGTCTTCACTTAGAGTGAGAAATTATTTTTTCATGAGTGAAGTATGCCTTTAAAGAAGTGAACTAACTTACTTTATTTTCAATTTTCCTAGGGCTGCTTTGGAAGAAGTAGAGGGCGACGTGGCAGAGCTGGAACTAAAACTTGATAAGGTAAACTTTGGAAAACATTAATTTTTACTATCCACAGTGAACATTTAGTGCCCGAAGTAGGAGTTGGTTGGTTTCAGTTGCGGAAGCTGTGCGAGTAGGTGCTGTCATACTGATTTGACACACGAGGGAATGAAGACAGCAGCTTGCCTGTTCAGTTAATTGTCAGAACAAGGGTTGGGTCCACATCTGACTGCAAAAGTCACAGAGCTTCCTATATATCATTAGAAGTTGGTTTCTGTCCTCTCCACCAAAAGATCTCATTTACCATTTTTGATACTTAATGGATTTTATATATAACCTAGTGATCCTTGTTGTACATTTAGGTGTGCGCAGGTTCAAATACAAGTACAATTTAAAGTGTTCATTCAATTTTTTAAGCTAATTCTAGAAATGCTTAGAATACTTAATAGTTAGGCAATTATATGTTACATAAGGGTAAACATATGCTGATTCTCATCTTCTCTGTTGTTACTGACACTGTGCAGGATAAATTCTGCTTATGGTATCATTGTAAATCGGACCAGAGACAAACTAAACTTGCTTGGTGACTTTGTTCATATTTATTTTGTATATATTATGTTTATTTATTTTTTATTGATGTTCATTTGCATACATTGTATGCTACCAGTAGTTGCATTCTGTCTTGTGAGTAGTGCTTCCAGAGTGGTGGCATTCATGGGCCCAGTTATCCATTCTGCAAGGTGTTGCGGTGTTTGCAACATCTCAGGGTCTCACAGTTGCCATCTAGATCTGATCTCTACATCTGCTGCATCCTGCATCTTTTCTTTGGTGTGCTTGGTACCTGCCTGTGACATAGATCCCTTTAAATCTCACTTCAATTTTTAGGGCCTTTTTTTTCTTGTATCATTTCTTGAATGCCCTTTCACTTAAACTACTACAATATTACAATTTTCATTTTGTAGCAGAGCCTTGAGCTTGAGAGCACAGAGCCTGGAGCTGCCTAGATTTGCACAAGGCTCTATCATGTAATTGTAAGTTTTGTAGTTTTGGGCAAACTCCTCAGCGTTTCTGGGCCTTGGCTTCTAATTTTCCAAACCAGGGAAAGTAAGAGTATCTGTCTGTCTCTCAGAGGTATTTTAAGAATGACATGAGCTGCTTTACCATAGTTCAAGTGCTTAGCATGGCTCTTGGGCATGCCTGGTGAATGCTTTTTATTTTTGTTTTGTTTCATATGTGTATGGACGTTTTAACAGCACTTTTGTCTGTGCATCATTTGTGTGCCTAGTACCCATGGAGGCAAGAAGAGGAAGTTGTAGCCCCTGGATATGGAGTTACAGAAGTCTGTGAGCTGCCATGTGGGTGCTGGGAATTGAACTCAGGCTCTGCCAGTGCTCTTAACTGCCGAGCCACCCCTTCAGCCCCAACATGGTAAATCCTAAATAAACAAGTTTAGCAACAAACAGCTCCTGGGATATGTGGACAGTCTTAAACGGCAAAGAAAGAAAAGAAACTCTGCTGTGCTGGCCTTGCCCTTACTGGGCACAAAGCCCTGTGTTTACTTATTTTTGAGCTTCACTACAGTGCTGCAAAGATGGGTTTATCCTCAGCTAAACATAAGGGAGGGGGAGGGAAAGGGAGGGAAAAGGAGGGAGAGAAGGAGGGAGGAAGGGAGAGAGAGAGATTACTTATGCATTAGGCAATGAGTTGTTTGTGCTCCTATCAACCGGCAAATACATGCCTATGACACAGTAGTCCTTCAGTGAAAAGTTGTTGGATGAACAAGTTAGGTTACCAGCTTGACATTTTAGACCAAGTTGATATTTATGCCTTAGGTTAAAAGCTCTCTTTTTAGCTTTTCATTACTCAGTTATATTTTTATCCATCACTGCCCTTTAATAGCCAAAATCTCTGCCCTTTCTACATGGCCAGGTCAGCCGTTCCTCTCGGGCTGCTACAGTGTGGCTCTGCGTGTCAGCAGCCACTCTCCTGTGATGGGGACTGTGTGCTAATTCTGTCACATATGTCTGTTGCCATGGTCTCTGTCTCACCATTTGTCTTTAATCTCTGAGCTCTAGAGTGCTGATATCCCACTGTCTGATGTCTCCATCTCTTTGGTTCTCAGCCTCAGTACCACTCTGTGTTAGGTCCTTTGCATCTCTGGTCGTCTATCCTGATTATTTGTGATGGCTTAGATAGATTTTTTTTTTTTTTTTTTTTTTTTTTTTTTAAGACAGGGTTTCTTTGTGTAGCTTTGGCTGTCCTATAATCTGCTCCGTAGACCAGGCTGGCCTTGAACTCACAGAGATCTGCCTGCCTCTGCCTCCCAAGTGCTGGGATTAAAACCATTTGCCCAAATCGACTGGCTGGCCTAGATTCTTTTAATTATATGAAATTAATATGTTTTAAAAAAGAGAACTCTTAAGAACCAAACTAGAATGTTAAAGGTGGTATTTTATATTAGTATGTAAATCCTAAAAGAACTCACTAGTACCTACAGAGTTCACTACTGCTTACAAGATATAATCCTAACACTTGTTGACATTTCAATGTATCCCTAAGAACACCATTAAAAGAACAGTTGGTACAACCACATCTGAAATAAAGCTTTTAATTGACTTTTAACTACAAAAAGGCAATCACCTATTTAAAACTGTAAAAAGGCAATCACCTATTTAAAACTGTAAACAGTGGTGAAATAAACATGTCTTGTAAACATTTGGTTCAAAACTTTTAATATTGCTTAAAAGTCTGATGCTTATCAATGAAAGGTATTTAGTCCAGTGTCGTTCCCCACCTCCAAACAAAAAAGTGCTGTTCTCTTTCTCCTGGAATCATTGAGACCAATACTGCTGTTTATACACCAAAGGGTTTTTGATGATCTAAGTACACACATTGCATATTCTCTGTGTGTGAGTTATATGGTATGGAACATCCCCAAAGCTTGCGGGTCTGCGTGGGCAGACATTTCTGTTTCTTGTCTTAATTTTGTTCCTAAATACCAACTAATTTTGAAATCAGTAAGAGTTTTGACATAGGAAATCTTTGGAATTTTACACCTGTGAGACCCTTGTATCTGAGACCGAGAGCCTGTCTTCTCCCCTAACGCTGGTCCACCCCATAAATGCCTGCTGGTGGTGAGAGGCAACACTGCACAAGAGATGACTCTCGGACCTCATCCCTTACCCCCCAGCATCCTTGTTCCTCCAATCCTACAGTACAAGTGACCTGCAGCCTGTGAGGTGGGTTCAGGGCTGATCATAGTGATGAAGAGCCATTCCAGCCAAGCCTTCATCATGTGTTCTCAGAAACAGTGAAAAACTGTGATATATTTCAGGCAGACCAAATACAAAAGCTCCAACAGTATTGTTGGTTGTCCACCACCATCATTTTCTGCTTCTAAATGAAGTACTTTTATTCAGTTACTAAAATGCTGTTGTGACTATAAGTCACGTACGTTGAGAAGACTGGGAAACCACTTTGTTCAATTACTCTGTGCCGGGCACTCACAAGCTTGGCAAGCATAGAGGAATTAAGACTTCGACAGGTTGCTTGCTGCAAGCTGGACACGGGAGTTTTCAAATAAAAAAACATGAGAAAGAAGGGCAGGGGTCTTACTGGTAGCATTAATACTGGGCCCTGAAAGGGCCTGAAGCTAGTGAGAATTTAGGAACGGAATTGCCCTGAGAAGTTTTAAGGACACCTAACCTGAGCACTGCCTTAGGTCCAGCCAGCACAGCACTCTGCTGGTTGTCACGAAAGTGGTTGCAGGTATTCTGTGAGTGCAATCTCTACAACCTCAGTACCCTGCTTCCTGGACAAGTGTTCCTGACCGGCCACAGCCACAGGTGAGCTTCTCCAGTGGCTGCTCTCTTTCGGGGGCCATTGCTGCTTCCTGCACCTGGTTCAGCTCACTCTGGATGGCTCCATTGGGGACCACTTCCTTTTACTGTGCGTATTCTTCTCATGCCTCTTGGCAAATGCCTTTGCGCAACAGCCACACACAAAAGGCTTTTTCTTGTTGTCACCTGTCATGGGCTTTGAGGTGAGACTCGTGTTTGACGGCTTTGTCACACATGTGGCATGCAATCAGTCTTTCATTGCTGTGAACCCTTTTGGGTTTCTTTATGTTGGGCACCGATGAGTGACTTCCTGTACACCCCACAGCTATATGGCTTAGTCCCTGTGTAGACTTTTTGATGTTCTTTTAGGTGGCCTGGGTGTGAAACCTTTTATATACATTTCACAAACAAAAGACTGGTCCATTGTATGGAATTTTGCAGACTTCTCAGTGTACCTTTGTTAGAAAATGTCCTACCATGTGCCTGGCAGGCAGTTTGCTCCCAGTGGTGGCCATAGAGCACAGACTCATTCAGAAGATGTCACTGAGAGCCGTTGTCTAGCCTGGAAATCTGGCCATCATTTTCTCACCCACTTCATCATTAAATGTTAAGGCTCGAGGCATCTGGGACCCCAGACCTTTGGACTCTGGGGACTGCATGAATTCTCATCACTCCTTAGCGCTTTTAAAGTTTCTATTTGAACCCTGAGCATAGTTGTGGATGACTTGCTGTCCCGACTCGGTGAGGGAGAGTTGCTTCTACTGTGTCATTGGAGGACTGTCATCTTATCCCCAGTTAATCCTGAGCATTTAGTCTCCTTTCCCTTCTCTGTCTTCTCTTTGTTTCATTTAAAGGAAAACAGAAGCAAGAGGCTGTGAGGAAGCTTGCTCACAAGAAAACAGACCCTCTCCTGAGCATTTTCCACACACCTGTGGTCGCTTTGCTGAGGCTTTTTTGTGTGGTGTTTCTTGATAGCAGTATCCCTGTAAGTTAGTACCACTGTTGTTATGATTATATAGGTAGGCATGCTAGTTTTTTAAGGCTAAGGTCACCTAGATCCAATTAGATGGCATTAGGATTTGAACTTAAATAAATTGAGCTGAAATCCTGTTTTCATCCTGCTATTTATTTTTGATATTTAATTTGTTAAGTAACATTACCTACAGAGAACAAAATTCAAAGGCAGAAGAAATGTACCTAGTGAAAGTTGCTCACCTTCTGATCCCTTTGCTAGAGGAGTGCTCCAGCCTAGTTTCTTAAGAGTTCTTGAAGAAAATTTCTGAGCATGCAAAAGAATATACATGTATTTTAGTGAAACATTAGTACTTTAAAAAAAAATCTAATTTTTTTTTCTCAATATGTTTTGGATGCTGTTAATCTGTCACCTGTTGTAGGACTGTCTGTCTTTGTTTTTGGTGCCAGGGATTGAATATGAGCCTGTTGCATGCTAGGAAACCGCTACAGTTCAGCCATAACCCAGCACTGTCTTTGTCTGTATATTTTAATATATTGCGTGTATATCTCACACCCATATGTCATCTTGATGAATCGCATTGAAGACACAGGGAGGGAGGGAGGGAGGGAGGCAGGCAGGCAGGCAGGCAGGCAGGCAGGCAGGCAGGCAGGCAGGCAGGCAGGCAGGCAGGCACGGTGATGCAGGCTCAGTCCTGAGTCTGTAATCAATGCCTAACAAGGCACTGGAGAAATACTTCTTTTTCTAGTAGTTTCCAGGAGAGGCTGATTAATCATTTCATACATCTGCTCTGATGGGGCGATAACTGAGCAGCATGGCCAACTTACAATACCGGTTTATGCACCTTTACTCCAGTGCATGACAGCTAAATAGTTTATTTATACTGTCATCACATTGCTGCCCATTTACCCTTCTCTTTCTTCTAGGGCATTGTGTGTGTGTGTATGTGTGTGTGTATGTGTGTGTGTGTGCATGTGTGTACATGTACACACGCGCGAGCACATGGTCATGAACCAGGAACTGAACTCAGGGCTTTTCACGTATGATGCAATTGCTTTACCATTGAGCTCCATTCCCAGCCTCTCTTCTAGGAGGATTTAATAAATCCTTATGGGCTTAAATTATGGATTTGAAATTGACGTGATAAAAAGAGATGATACGTAGGCTATCACAGAACCTCTGGGTCCTAATGGTTGACTTTTTGTTATAATTATTCCTGTGAGTTTAACAGGAATAATCTAAGGCAAAGGAAAATTTCTTAAAATACTCCCTAGTTTTTGATGAAATAAGATTTATACTGAGTAGGCTAGCTCACCTAGCAACTGCTAACACTTGGCCCACTAGGGCACGTGTACAGTCATTTCCCTTGTGACCTTGTCTTTCTTCTTTTTCAGCTAGTGAAGCTTTGTATTGCAATGATTGATACTGGCAAAGCCTTTTGTCTTGCAAATAAACAATTCATGAATGGGATTCGAGATCTGGCACAGTATTCTAGCAATGACGCTGTAGTTGAGGTTGGTATCACTAAAATTGCAGATAAAGTGTTGAGTGTAACAGAATGTCATATGATTATGCATAAACCTACCTAGTAGTGGTCATAATGAACTTAACCAGAGTAGAAGGGCTGCCATTCCTTGCAGCAATGTTCAACAATTCTGCTTTTGAAGGTAGTTATATATTAAAGTTTGATTTATTGTGTGCATATTTAGCATCACTGCTCTTAACCTTGCTTCACTCCATTCAAGTTTTCATTCAGGTAGGTGAGCTAAAGGGGCCAGTGGTCAAGAGCAGAAACAGGTCACCGGTAGTTGATATTGGCCTACTCAGAACAGGACCCAATTGTCTACTTGGAGCTGTATAGCTTCTGGCTAGCCTGTGGTCCTGGGCTAGCCTGTATCTCTTGCTGTACTCTATATAGTGCTACTGATGTTCCTTTCATGATGAAAACTAAATCGTGAAGAAACAGTTATGTTTTGACAATGATTAGATCCATAGTTGCTTACAGGGGCACACTATTGATGCTATCAAACCTTCTGGATTATACATGTTGTGGATGGGAGCAGTACTAATTCTTTGGTATTTCTGGGCCTTAACATGTTACGACATGTAGACTTGTGGTAGACATGACCTCTGCAGGACATGTCCGGTGAGCCCTTATGATTGTCCTTTGAAGTAAATGTTATTGTTTACAGGATAATTGGATTTTTCTGTCAGAAATGCTAAGTAATATTTTTGTGACTTACTTTAGTAGCTCTTAAGTGACTTGCTTTTCCTTTGGTTTCTTCCTTACAGACAAGTTTGACCAAGTTTTCTGACAGTCTTCAAGAAATGATAAATTTTCACACAGTGAGTATCAGTCAATAGGTGATGCCATGACTGTTGACACCCCTGAGTGGCAGTCTTTTGTGGGATGACTAATCTGGTGACTTGATTGGGCTTTGTATTGGGGTGGGAATACAAACACCATATGTGTGTATGTTGGGAAGAGGGAAAGTGAGCTTGCTTTCTTTATTTCCAGTCTTTTCCTCACTGAGTTTAATGAGCATTGCTTGTATGAGCCATGGTTATTTACTGGAGCATGTACAGTTTACCAGTGGCTATACCACTGAAGAAAATGATACTTCCCCATAATAAATTTAATATCATAATCCCCATTCAAATTATTTGTCCAGTTTGAGTTCTGTGTAGTTTGTTTTGGAGGGAGTTGGGTTGCTCTTATTGTCGCTGGAGTTATATCTATATCATCTATATCTATTAGTTGGTAGTTAGCTATTTCAAAATTAGCATGTGTAACTCTGCCTTAAAAAAAGGTGCATCTATTTTTATTTGTATTTTATCTGTGTGAGTGTTTTGTTTACATACATGTGCATACCTGGTACCTGCAGAGGTCAGAAGAAGGCATCAGGTCCCCTGGAACTGGAGCTATATATAGGTGGTCATAATCCACTGTGTGGATGCTGGGAATCAAATCTGAGTCCTCTGGAGAGGGAGCCAGTGCTCTTAACCACTGAGCCATCTTCCAGCCCCTGAACAGATTCTGACATAGTAGTCTAATTTCATAGTATAATTTCTGCAGTCCTAGGAGGTATTTTGACTTTAGCTCCTATTTGGTAATCACATAAGTGGTTGCTCATTCTACTGTTCCAGTTTCATGGAAGGATCTTGTTTCTTTGTTTTTTAAATTTATTTAACTTTATGTTCATTGGTGTAAAGGTGTCAGAACCTCTGGAACTGGTGTTACAGACAGTTGTGAGCTGCCATGTGGGTGATGGGTGTTAAACCAGGGTCCTCTGGAAGCTCAGCCAGTGATTTTAACCACTTATCTTATGTTGCAGAAGCTTAGAGCATACATACCTATAGATGTATCTCTTTACCTATACATATTTTTGGTATGAAATAGTCACTTGGAGTTGAAGTATTATATGAGTCATTTGTCACCATTGAGTTATTTAATAATTTTTGAGATAAAAAGATATAGGTTAGGGGAGATAATTTTGAACTACTGTATTTGTCTTGTGGGTGTAATTAATGAAAAGTTGTTCAGTGTGGTGTAGATAGACCTGCTTAGCAGGTTTTATGAAATACATTATGAAATGAATTATGAAATGCAGTAATGTATGCCATAAGGTCCAGAAGTTGGTAATAGTGTTTATATGTATGTGCATACAGTTCTATGTTAAGATGTTGTAAATATATTGAAATATAAAAAGTTATTTCATAAAGAAAACAAAATATTAGTTCACTTCTGTGATTCTAGTATTACTTGCATGTATGACTATGAAGTGGAATTTTCAAAAAGATTTTGAGACTATAAACCTATAGTCTTCCTAATAAGATTTAATGTATATTTAGTTTCTTTTGCGTATGTAATTTTTTCAATAACTAAAAATAAGAAAGAATGAAATTTTATCAGTAATTGTTTGGGCTAGCTATCATCATAAGCCAGGTAAAAATACCAAGAAGTGACAACTGCCATGATGATCAATTTACCGCAATAGAATTATCTAGCACAGGGCAATGATGCCGAGGATTCAGCAGTGTACACTGTCACTGTTAGAAAAAAATGTGAGAAATAATGACAAGCAGTGGTAGTGAGTTGTGACTAAAAAAATTCAAAATGGAAACAGGAAGAGATGAAGGAATATACCTTTGCCAAAGGAAAAATTTCTTTCTTAACTCTGTTAGCATCAAAATAAAACTCAGCAGCTGGAAACTCAAACTGTGTCAAGTGGCTTACAGCTTTTAAGATTTTTATAAAACTTAACCATCAATATCATTTGTGGGGCTGACACTATCTTACGGCATTTGACCACCACTCCTGGTGCTTGGCATCTTAGAAATAGACACACTCTTGTTTATTGGGCAGGATGTGAAGTGGCCAGCGAGCCTCTGCTCTTGGTTCTGGCTGAGTGGCTCATCTGTGGCTAGAGAAGTCAGCATGTCTGGTACAAAGACTGGCTGGTGTTGGGTGGCTGTCTAGCATCTCTCTCTTATTTCTTGAGACCAAGGTCTAAAAGTCACATTGCTTCCTCTTCTGCTGCAATCTTTTGATCAAAGCAAGATTAACAGTCAGGTCAAATCCAAGATAGAGAGAATAAAGTCTTAACTCTTGGTTGTACAGTGACATGCTTTTGCAGGCATGGAAGAGTTGTTGGTAGCCTCTGTATGTGAAACTGTTTATCACAGCCTTAAACACCTAATGTGTGACATTTCTGTATGTTTGTAGTAAATTGGTTTTCATTTGTTTATATCAGTTTTTTGTTTTATGTTTTTTTCAAGATGGGGTTTCTATATGTAGCTCTGGCTGTTCTGGAGCTTGCTCTGGCCTTGAACTCAAAGATCTGCCTGCCTCAGCCTCCCAAGTGCTGGGATTAAAAGTGTACACTACTTCCACTGGCTGGAGCTAGCTTCTTGGTTAGAGATGAGAGTTCATGTTCACTTCTTCCTCTTAGCACTGGGACCCCATCGGGCTTGTACCTGTGCAGTCTTGTGCATGCAGGCACAGTGTCTGAGTTTGTATCTACGTCAGAGACCAGAGACCCTGCCCTTAAATAGTGGTCCCTGGCCCAGCAATAGTGGCCAGCATCACCTGCAAACTTCTGGACCTACAGAGTCTGGGCCCCAACTCTACATTTGTGTTATCAGAGAAGCCAGAGTCAGTTAGAAAGCCACTCTTAGAGCTCGCTGTGGCTCACAGGCCAAATCTAGTTCCTTGCATTTATTTGTTACTTATTTTCAGGTCAAATTTCATTGGAACACAGCTTTACTCATTTTTTTGTTTGTTTGTTTGTTTTAATTTTATCTTTATGACAAGGTGGAATAATTGTAACAGTCAGTGCATACCTCATGGGATTAAAGCACTCTTGTATAGCCCTTTACAGAGGAAGTGTTATGATGTCTGCTCTTGTGGGCCCCTTAATTTTTGTCTAATTCTGGGAGCCCATCAATGAGGCTACTTTGTGTGTTGGTGGACATCATTTAGTCATTTAGCTGCCTTTGGTAAATTGTTCTTAGTGAAGTCAGGTTGCAAATAGGCCTAATTAAGGTTGGAATCTTTGGTAGTGAGGACTAGGAACCCAGAACTGTGTGACTGGTCTGTCTGTCTGTCTGTCTGTCTGTCTGTCTGTCTGTCTGTCTGTCTGTCCTGTAAAGCACCCCTGGTTGTCCTAATCTTCAATTCAGTGTGACTGTAGAAACAAGCTACCTGGAGATTTTAGTAAATGTAGATTTTGATCCTTTCTGCTCTCCAACTTTCCCTTTAATATCTTCCCTCTTCTCCCCTCCTCCCTTCACTCCTTCCTTTCCTTTCCTCTTTAATTTCCCTTTCCCTTTCCTTCCTGACAGGGTCTTAGATAGTCCAGGCTAGCTCAGAGCTCACTGTGTACCCAGGCTGCCTTCCATTTGTGGTCTTCCTGCTTCTGCCTCGTGCTCACTGCTGGCCATAGGCCTGCTCCTGAATGCTGGGCAGTGATTCTGCAGAATCACTTAGTTGGTGTTGCACTCTCAGCCAGATCAGACTGGCTTAGAACTCAGGACCTTTCTGTCTTAGCCTCTCAAATGCTGGAATTTCAGATGTGTGCCATCATGCCTAGCCCTCAGATGTTAACTATTTGATTTTAATATATAACCCAGTAGAGAACCATTGCCTGAAGAGGGAGGAAAGGTCTGTAGACACAGATTAGCATGGGCAGAAGAAGTAGAAAAAGCGGAACAAATTCAAGCGTTTGTTACCTGTTGGAACTAGTACTAGTGAATTTTCGTTGTCAATTGATTGGATTTTGAGTCAACTTGGAGATAGTGTTCTGGGAAGTCTGTGAAGACATTTGGATTTAACCAAGGAGGGAAGACACACCCAAGTGTAAGTGCTCCCATTCCCATGGGTCGAGGTTCTGGACTGAATGAAGACAGAGCAGCTTGGGCACCAGCATTTGTCCTGCTGTGCTTTCTGACCACAGATGTGCCTCACACCCATGCCACCATTGCCGTTGCCCTACCTCCCACCATGAGCAGAGCATAAACCCTTCCTTCCCTCAATGTCACCTTAGTCTCAGTGATGAGAAAAGTCACTAATACAGAAACTGGTACTATGAAGTGGGACTGTTGCTTTGATAAACCTGATCATGTGTTTGGTAGGCTTTAGAACTGGTTTGCAGGAGGGATGGGGGAGCATTTAGAACTTCAGGCTAGAGAAGCCATGCAAGCAGAGCTTAATGGACCATTCAGAATACTGACAGATGTGGACATTAAAGACCTAGTGAGATTTCAGAGGGTATCAAGGATTCTTGGGAATTGAGCTAGAAGCCCTTTATGTTGTATTCTGGAAAGCAATGTGAGTCCACTCTGCCCATGTCCTGAGAACTAGGGCGAGATTGACTCAAGGAGCAGTGGACGAACTGGATTGGAGGAGGATGTTTCAAGACAGCACAGCATTCAGGCTGAGCCATGGCTCCTACTCACTCCTCGAGTCCACGTTTACAGCGAGAGAGGGCACAGATAGAATGGAAAGGTATGAAAAACCATATAGTTGGGTGAGGAGTGTAGCAATTTAAAGTACTGGCTAAGCAGGGTGTAGAGAAAGCCCAGTGATTGTTATAGAGGTGACATTTTGTACAGGGACAGTAGATGAAGAGCCTCACGGGCAAGACCCTACCATTAAAGACTCCCTATAGCATGTGAAAAGGAGAAAGACACTGAGAATACCTGTGAAGGGTTTCCCTGCTTGAAAACAACCCTCTAGGGAAGTGTTAGTGTTCCTAGGTTCAGCCACCAAGGTACAGAGAGGTCCAGCTGTGAGAGGAGGGGCCAGACCACATCTTGAGCTATTAGCAGAGTTTGCTAGCATTGTCCACCTGATGCTTGATTTTGCTGGCATGCAAAACCTAAGAATAAAGGGTCATGGAGTCCTACAAGCTTCTAGAAAACGCAGAAGCAAGGTTGGCTTCTATGCAAGGAGGTAGTTTTGTGAGTGAAATCTAAGTTACGTGGAGACCCTAGGATGTTGGGGATGCCAGGGTCCTGGAATGTCACTAGAAAAATGCTGCAGGGACCCAAGTGGCGCTAATTTAAGAGAACTGGAGGAGCAGGGCTGTCCAAGGCCATTAGACCCCAAAAGATGCCAAGAGCCCATTGTATCTGTAGCTGCAGGATTTTGTTTCCCCAACTGGATTTTGATCTGACCCCATTTCTCCATTTAGAGTGAGAATACTTACTTAGTCTCATCACATATTGGAAGTAGTTATTTATTATTTTTTTTTGTCTCACAGTTAAGACATGCTTTGAGTCTTAAGAGAGAAATTAGGCTTTTGAATAGTGTTGGAACTAAGTCTGAGGGGACTTTGGAATTCATTTTGCACCATGAGATGGCCATGAACCTTAGGCAGCCAGGGGTGAATGTTTTGATTAAAAGTGATGTGTTTGGGTGTCAGGCTACTCCTCATGATCGGCGTGACCAGAGCAAGAGTCACATTGGAGGCACGCCTTTGGGTGTGTCTGTAAAGGCGTTTAGTTAAGACTGAAGCTCCACTTGAACGTAGGTGGCAGCAGCCGTGGACCGGGGTCCAGGAGTGATACAAAGGGCAAAGGAGGAAGGGAGCTGAGCACCACAGTTGCTGTTTCTGTGCTTCCTGCCTGGAGATGCAGTGTGACAAGCTGTCTCATGGCCCTTCCTCTCACTGTCACGCCTTCCCGAATGCCGTGATGTTGGTGGAATAAATTCTTCTTTCTTTAACTTGGTTTTGTCAGTTATTTTGTCACAATAGTAACAGAAATGAACAAGGAATGTAACTCAAGGATTACAAAAGAGTCTTCTTGATTTATTTTAGCTCTTTTTATTACAGGCCTATTGAGATTGCACAAAAGTTTCAGTGACCCTACAGGGTCAAAAGCCATTACCGTGTCCCTTACTGTCGATTCTGGAAAGGGCAATAATGATTTTGTGTCCTATAGTCATCAGGTAGGAGTGGTGTGGTCCCTGGATAATATGAATTATAAAGACTTCAGAACACTTAGTTTCAGGGTCAGTGATTCCTAAGGAACTGGCAAGAATGGGTGGCAGGTCTTAACGCTGTCTATAGATTTCCCTCTTAGTTTTTCCCAGTGACTTTGTGAAGTGATTGTCTGCCATCCGTGATGTGCTCCTCAACTTTTACCCTTTCTTGAGCACAGCAGAGAGAATGCCGTTCTAACGGGGCCCAGACACAAGTAGGAAATACATGAGTGTGAGCGCTGATTTTTAAGTCCTATGTTATTTTCTGTAGTTTAATAAGATAATGTGACATTTTGTTGGGTGTTTGTAATTCATGGCTGCTTGCAGCAATGGCATTACATTTCTAGAAATGGAAGTGAGCCTTAGCTTTCTCTTGGTGACTATTGCAGCTGTTTACCTTTAGCATCCGAGAAGAAATGTATGCCTTAGCAAGGTGTGGGTTAGTGACCAGGAGCTGAGATAAGACTCTGGTTGGCTAATCTAGGCAGCTCTGTACACAGTACAGCACTGAAAAAGTTTGTCACTAGGTAGCTGTGTGTCTTGACATCGGCAAATAGGAAACCACTTTTATTCTGTGGCCCAAGCATCAGCAGTCTCATCTTCACAGTAAAGGATAAAATGCAAACGCATAGGTTAGCCACGTGCAATGGTGAAAGCCTGTAACACCAGCATGTGATTGTGCATGGCTGTAAGGGGAGGCTGAGTCAGGAAGACTACTTGAAGGCAGCCTGGGCAACAAACTGACTCTCCAACCACCCTGGACTACATAGTGAGGTCTTTATCAGAAAGATGCAAACAAGTGAGATTAATGAGTTCCTTAAAATAATTCTCTTGTTATCAAATGCATATCAGTTTTTATTTTGGGAATGCAGTGTTTTGGAGGATGTGGATGATATGTTAAATTTTGAAATATATTTCCCCCCCTTTGGAATGCTTTTTACAGCATCACTGTAGAATAGTATATATATTGCATAATTACACATTTTGGTAAGCTTTGAAATATTTTGCTTCTCTGTGATCCTTCTCTCTTTCTCAGTCTCCTTGCTCCTGGTCAGTTACTGGTCTATAGTCTACCATAAGTAGTCTGTTTGTTTTGGGGTGTTCTAGTAATTTTTACTCTTAATTATTTTGAGACACAGTCATATTATATGTATAATAGTTGATTTCTTGTTATTGCTCAGTAACATTGCATCATATGAGTATTTTATCAATTGTATATTCACTCATTTGTTGATGACTATGTTTTCTGTTGCCGTATTGCAATTAACCCCAAACTTAGAGGCTTAAGATACCAAAGCTCTATTTATTACCTCATAGTTTTCTGAGTTAGGAGTTTGGGAGAGGTCCACTGGGTGGCTCTGGCTTGATGTCTTTGACCAGATGCTGCCAAAGCTGGGGTTTTAGTCCTTTGAAGTCCTCATGAGGCTGGTGGGATCCATGTACTTCTTAGCCAGTGGAAGGCCCACGTTCTTCACCGAGGACCATCTTTGCAGGACCGCAGGAGTGTCCTTATGACACAGAGTCTGTTACTCTCCAAATGTGACCCGAGAGCTAGGGCAAAGGAAACATCGGCGTCTTCATGACCCGGTCCCTGTTTGGAAGAAGCAAGTGACAGCTCCCAGTAGAGGAGAAAAGATTTCAGGTCTGCTTTTGAAGCAAGGATCACCAAAGAATTTGTGGATGTTCCAGGTGAAGTAGTGTGCCCCTTTAGTCATAGCTGCTTTGTTGACCCGGAGGGGCAGAGTGTTACAATCCACTTAGAGGCCAGCATGGGCGTCAGATCTATCCCAGGAAAGAAAAAGAAAAAGTGCCCCATGTGGTGGCATACACTTTTCATCTCAGCACTTGGGAGGCAGAGACTGCAGCCTCTGACTTGGAGGCCAGTCTGGAATATATATGGTGAGTTCCAGGACAGCCTGAGCCATATAGTTAAGTGTGTATGTATGTATGTATGTATGTATGTATGTATGTATGTATGTATGTGTTTGTGTATATATATATATATATATGTATATATGTTTTATTATTATTACTTTTTCCAAGACAGGGTTTCTCTGTAGCTTTGGAGCCTGTCCTGTCAACTCACTCTGTAGATCAGGCTGGCCTTGAACTCATAAGAGATCCGTCTGCCTCTGCCTCTCCAGTGCTGGGATTAAAGGTGTACACCACCACCACCTGGCTAAACACAAGATTTTTGTTGTTGTTGTTGCTGTTTTGTGTGTTGTTCTCTCCCCCAACCCCCCAATTCTCATACGTTTCAAACTCGAAATTTGAAGTAATTCTGAAATTTATGAATGTACTTGGAATTTCTGTAGTGAAGCCCCATCAGTGTTGAGTATGGGCATCATAACACCTGGACAAAATGCTGCTCTGGGGACTGAGATTTTTGTTCTTTCTAATCACAGCTGTCCTTTGACCCAGAAGACTGTGTAATGCTCACTGGAATTCAATACATCCATTGTCTATGTTCCCAAGTCTTCCCCAGTGAAAAACTCTCTCTGGGTGTCACGCAGGGCTGAGCCTGCTTTTGGCTGGGTTGGAGAAAGAGAAAGTTATGCTACTGCTGGGTTGCCTTCCAAATTTAAAGTAGAATTAAGGAAATTGTTTTTGTTTGTTTGTTTTGTTTTTTCCACCATATTTCTTTTCAGTAGTGAAGAGAAGCAAGTTATTTTTGAGTCTGGTAGAATTTGGCTTAAAATTGGCTTCAGTTTCTTTCATCATTGCCTTTCACAGTCTTCAATAAGAAATAAGGTGTTATTAGGATTGGTGAGGTGCTGTGGCATGTATGTTTCCTTTCCTTTCTGACATTTAATGCTGTGTTTTATTTTCTAGATCCTGTTCGACCAAACTCAGAGATCAATTAAGGCACAGCTTCAGAACTTTGTTAAAGAGTAAGTCAGCTGTGGTGAAGAGGGCAGAAAATAGCCAACCGCTGGCTGCTGGGGATGGGTGGGTGTGGTAGCCTGGGGGGTGTGGCTAAAGATGCTAAAAGAGAAAAAATTATAGGGCTCAAATTTCTGAAAATACTGGCTTGTTTGCTTTCTGTAATGTGTTTCTCCTTCCTTTCTTATTCCCTCCCTCCCTCCTTCCCCCCTCCCTTCCTCCCTTCCAGTTTATAAGGGAATCAGATTCACCTTGAACATATGTTTAAATAGCTCTTCTGGTTAAGTCCAGAAAATTTTCTAAATGTAGATAAAAAGTCCCAACAGTGGTTGAAATACTTATTGTAGTTGAAGCTAGGTCGTCTCATCTCACTGTGTTTTTTTTTCTTTGAAGAGAAGATACTAATCGAGAATGAGGTACAGAAATGATATATTGTTACATATGACCCTTTGGAAGAGATTTATCATGTTTACATATGAAATAAAATTGAAGTAGAAGTAAAAAGAAAGTCCAAACTTTCCAAGTTAAGGAAAACTTTTTTTTTCCACATTAGTAATTTAGTTTTCCTTTTATGATTTCCAGTGGAGAATTTATAAATGTCAGTTAATTCTGATACAGTATTAAAGATAAGTAAGGCTATAATATACGAAAGTGTCAAAACAGTACTGCTGTTTCGAGTAGTTTTGGCTTGGGATTTTTAGACATGCTGTGAGTGCCACCCCACCTTAGATGTTCGGCAAGGGCTCTGCTGATCTATAGCCCTAGCCGGAAGGTTAGAACTATCCTACAAAGATGTCTCACAGCTCTGCTGTTTTTGTTTTTTTCTTTTAAAGATTTATTTATTTACTGTACATTGGGGTTTTGCTTATGTCTGTATGAGGGTGTCAGGTCTCCTGGAACTGGAGTTACAAACAGTTGTGAGTGCTAGGAATTGAACCCAGGTCATTTGGAAGAGCAGCCAGTGCTTTTAACCACTGAGCCATCTCTCCGGCCCCTCACAGATCTGTTTTTCAGATTGCTTCAGAATGCTTTAACACTCAGCCAGTCTAACTTGTGGAATGTTTAAAATCAGTTATACAGTCTTTCTTAGTCATATGTATTAAAATTAAAAGCCATTTGTCCCAACTTACTTTGTCAGTGTCCTAGTAGTAGTAGTAGCAGCAGAGAGGAATTATGTATTTACCTGAGGTCACTAAGGATCAGGGGCTTCACCTTTTCAGACTGTTACATGGCATGTCGTGAGCCTTTATAAATTTGTGTACATGTGTGTTTAAAGACTTTTTATTTTAAGCTGGGCGTTGGTGGCCCAAGCCTTTGATCCTAGCACTCTGGAGGCAGAGGCAGGTGGATCTGTGTGAGTTCGAGGCCAGCCTGCTCTACAGAGCTAATTCCAGGACAGGCTCCAAAGCAATACAGAGAAACCCTGTCTCAAAAAAGCAAAATCATGCGCGCGCGCACACACACGCACACACACAGATTTTTTATTTTTATTCTTTGTGTGTTTTCTTCTGCTTCCTTGTTTTGGTGTTTTGAAACAGACTCTTGCTCTGTAGCCCAGGCAGGCCTAGAGCCAACAGTCCTCCTTCCATAGTCCCCCAGAGTTGTGCGCTTATGAGAATTGTTTCTTAAAATCAAAAGGATGGCTTAAAATATTTCCAAGATTCTTAGGATTTATCTGGAAGATAAATGAATTTTAATCTTTGGGAAAAGCCATTCAAGTCTGCATTCCTATATATATTATCTATAGTAAATTTTGCACTGATGTTTAGAAAACAGTATCATGGTTAAGACATGTGCATGTTTGTAATTTATCTTTAGAAAAATTATCTTTCTGTTTTCTTGCATCAATCATTATCATTTCCATTTGAATCATACAGATTAAAATAACAAATAACATTAGCTCACTCATTGACCATCTGTATACACAGAATGATGAGTACCCATAGACCAAAAATGGCCCAAATCTGAAACTTTTGAGCTCTCAGCTCTGAGTACTGGATTAAGGTGCAGACTGGAAGTCTGTATAAATGTCCCTGAGTCACGGAAGTCCCAGACCTGAGTTTCCCTGGTTTCCCTGGTCCAGGCATGTCAGGATGGTGACAACCAGGATCTGGGGAAGCTGGTGACTACTAATGTCTGAGGAAAGGAAGGGAAGGAGCAATAGCATTATGTTATGTTTTTTTTTTTTTTTTTTGGGCCAGGATTTTGGAGAAAGTTTCATTAAAGTTTTATTTTTTAGAGATCTTAGAAAATTCAAAGATGCCAAGAAACAATTTGAAAAAGTCAGTGAAGAAAAGGAAAATGCATTAGTAAAAAACGCCCAAGTTCAAAGAAACAAACAGCATGAAGTTGAAGAGGCCACGAACATTCTCACGGCCACGAGGAAGTGCTTCCGGCACATAGCCCTTGACTACGTCCTTCAGGTATGGTTGGTCGGTCTTGCCTCACGTCTTTCAGTAGCAGTTAGGTGTCAGGCTCCTTGCAGTGATTGTACTAGGACAATGAGTAAAGAATGCTTTTCCTTTGAACTTAAAATTAAAACACTATTTTAAACTTTGAAATTTAATGTTTCTTTGAGGTAGCTCACTCAAACCCACTATTTAGCCCAGGCTGGCCTCAAATTCACTGTGTAGCCTGGGCTGGCCTCAACTTGATACCTTCTTGCCTTAGTCTTTGGAATGCCTGGTTATAGTTATACATTGTTACCTCCAGTGGGAAACATGACATTTTACAGAAAACTTTCATCTGTTTACATACCTGTGCACACAGTAAGTGAATATAGGTGCCTTTGGTTCTGACATATGTTTTTGTGCACACACATGTATGAATATAGATGCCTTCGGTTCTGACTTCTTTCTCCTTTTTACTTAGTTATAGTATCCTACACCTGTTTATTCTGCAGTGTTTCTATTTTAGTTTAATTGATATTTGACTACCAGGCTGAAATAGTGTTAGTTTTTACTGTTTTTGAAAGTTTTTGAAAACTTTTTTATAAAATTTAAATTAGAAACAAGTTTTCTTTTAATGTCAATCCCAGTTCCCTCACCCCTTTTCAAAAAATTTATGAATGCTTTTAAACATAAACCCCAAACAACAACTTCTCAGGAACTCCACTGTGAGAAATGCTTTTGTGGGTGAAGCAGTTGCTTCCCTTTGCCTCTGAGCAACACATGACCTGTATGTTCTTGGTGGCACCAGCTTCACAAACTGCCAAAGGTTTCTGGAATTCATTGGCTGCTTTTGCAGGTGAACTCCCTTTGAGGAGATGAGCCCCTGTGGAGGTGAATGGCAGTAGTAGGGCCATGGGGCGGTGCTGGTTCCACTGGGCACCACTGGGGAGACTGGAAATGTGGATTTATTTATCTCTTGGTGTGCATGTGTACTCATGGAGACAAATGACCACTTCAGATGTCATCCTCGGGAATACTATCCACCTCCTTTCAGCCAGTCCTTCATTGACCTGGAGCTCACCAATTAGGCTAGCCTGGCTGTCCTGTGAGCATCTGGATCCTTTGGGATTATGGATACTTACTACCATGCCTGGCATTTTTATGTGGGGTCTAGGGACTGAACACTGTTGTTGTGTGTGCAAGGCCAGTACTTTACCAACTGAACATCTCTCTGGCCTCTACATGTGTTTTCTATTTCTAGATTATTGTTATAATTTTGTTTTTTGTGTATATATGTGTATGTTTGTGTATATATGTGTATGTGTATGTGCACGCACACACACACATATATGGAGGTCAGAGGGCAAACTTGGGTGTCATGAAGATGTTTCTCTCTTACTAGCCTCTCATTGGCCTGGAACTAAGCTAGGTTGCTCAGTCCCAGGCCTCTGCCCCTTCCACTACCCCAGGGTAGAGATTGTGAGCATGTGCTGATGCTCCCGGATTTTTTTACATGGCTCTGGGGGTGGAACTTGGGTCCTCATGCTTGTGTGGCCAGAATTTATCAACTGAGGCCTGTAGTCCTAGATAGCTTCTGTCTCAGTGGTTGGAAAATAGGTGCCATACGACTTTTGTTTTTTTTTTAAAAGAGTGAATGATGTAACTATGAATTTTGTATGTAATGGGCTGTCTTAATTAGGATATCTATTGCTGTGAAAAGACACCATGACCATGGCAATTCTTATAAAGGAAAACACTTAATTGTGGTAGCTCGCGTACAGTTCAGAGGTTTAGTCCATTATGGTCGTGGCGGGAAGCAAGGCAGCATGATGCTAGAGAAGGAGCTGAACGTTCTTAGGTCTTGACTCTCAGGCAGCAAGGTGTGGTCTGTCCCACTGGGCGTGGCTGGAGTGTTTAGGAGAACTCAAAGCCCACCTCCACAGTGACGCACTTCCTCCAGTGAGACCACATCTGCTCCACCAAGGCCACACCTCCTGAATCCTCCTAAATTGTCACTCCCTTTAAGGGCCACCTTCTTTCAAATCACCACTCGGGCTTTGGCCAAAATATCCATTATTTTCAAACTGAAACATAATAATTGTGTATTTCCTTTGAGTTCATCTGATGGTACTACATTAGCCTTCATGCTCGCTCACTCCCTTCTAACTGTGAATTTATTTGATAGCTCTCATAAGAATTCTTGGGTTATTTTATTTTGTGGCCAGAGTAGCTGTTTTGGAGAATAGGTAAAAATACCCCAAAATGTAAAGTATTTTAGCTCCTTTAAATATTTGAATTTGCTTTTTTCCTTGAGTTTGAATTTTTGTCCCAACTAGAGAGAGAGAGAGGGAAAGGCAGAAGCAGAGCAGAAGCCTGAGTGAACAGGGACTCCCCTCAGCCTGCGCTTGGTATTGGGAGAATCTGAATGGGGAGCCTCCCCGCTTCCCCTCAGCCTGCGCTTGGTACTGGGAGAATCTGAATGGGGAGCCTCCCGGCTTCCACTCAGCCTGCGCTTGGCATCTGGGGCCCATGTCCTCCTCAGAGCTGAGTGGGCTGTGAAGCACACTTGCAGAAGAAACCAGTGAGAAGGAAGGAAGTTAGATTTAGAGCTTTCTTGGTGCGTTTTTGTTTTTAAGACTGTGTTTTACAATTCCCTTATTAAACTGACCGAGAAGACATTTGGAAGATGTTCTGTATTCTTTTGGCAATGTTAACAAAGAATTAAGGGCCTCTCTTGGATCAATGTTTTATTTAAATAAGCTGGTTTAAAATAAAACAGACAAAAATATTTGTTAGGAATTTCTAGAATTGTTAAAGCACCCTCCCCCCAACTCACTATGTAGCCAAAGGTAACTTTGAACTCACAGTCCTCCTGCCTCTATTCCCAGGGATTATAGGCATGCACCCTGACCCCGGGTTGGGCAGTCCAGGGGATTTAATCCAGGGCTTTGCCAACTGAGCTTCAACCCTACCCCTGAAAAATTTCATGATTTGCTGCATTTCAGTAAGTCGTTCATAATTAAAATACTTAAATCCTTCCCTTTAGCATATATTTATGTTATATACATGTTAAACATATGCTCACTGTGTCCTGCTTGAGGACTAGAACTGGGAAGAAGGTCCTAATCTCATGGAGTTTGTACTTCCTTACCTATAGTAAGAAAACACAAAGTAAGTACTCAGGAGGCAGAGGCAGGAGGATCTCTGTGAGTTCGAGGCCAGCCTGCTCTACAGAGTGAGTTCCAGGATAGCCAGAACTATATGATGAGATCCTGTCTAAAAAGCCAAATAAAAAACAAAAACAAAACAAATAAAAGTAGTTATAAATGTTAACGGTAAGTAGGACTGATATGTTGGATAGTAAGTCAGGTAATGAGTTATACCTGTGTAAGACGATAGTATGTGGTTGAAGCCTGGATTAGTAAGAAATGGCCCCTTATAAGTCACAAGGGCAGAGCATCCTGAAATGGAGGCAGGTCAGCCAGTGCCAAAGCACCTGTGGGACAGTGATGGGTCTGGCAGGTGCACAGAGAGGGCAGAGTAACAGAGGACTGGGCTGGAGAGGGTGGCGGGAGCCTCAGCACAGTGGCCTTTGTGGAACATGGTAGGAGGCTTCAGGACTTACCACTGAGGTAATGTGACTTTATTTATATTAGCAAAGTCCGTGTGGTACCTGTGTGGAGAAGAAGCCGCACACATGGGGCCAAGAGGGGAAACAGAGGCAGTTCAGAAAAGATAGAAAGTGGTAAATGGTGATGACTGGCACTGAGGCTGTGGTTGAGCCTTATCTTCGAGTAGATGAGGAGGAAGATGGACACATCATGTGCTCAAGCATTAATATGGCTCAATGACATTGCAGCTGTAATTTGAAGAGCCAGTGTTTACACTGAGCTCAAGTGTGGTGGAGTATTCACGGTATGCTTATCATAACTTTTAGCCAAAAGAGGTTTATTGATGAAAACAAGCTTTGCTTGGGATTGTGAGGACGAGTCTGAGAGTCTTGTATTGTGGGTTAGTAATTCATGGGTGATTAACCAAGTTTATCTTCCCTCAGATTAATGTGCTTCAATCCAAGAGGAGATCAGAAATCCTGAAATCAGTAAGATCTTAATGAACCACTGTTAACTGGGACTGTGTGTTTGTAGTTCCTGTAGTGTGTGCTCTCCTTGTCTATCTCCTGTGTCGTCTGCTTCAGGGCACAGCTGTGGATGTGTCTGTGTCACTAACATACAGCCTTCCCACAAAGACAGACACACTGTTGGCACCGCACTCTGTTATTCTAGTGTAATGTTCTATGTGGTCTAGAGACCTAACACTTCCCGAAAGTAGCCGGAAGTGGTGACTAGAACCACTGAGAATATTTCAGGATTGTTTTGAAGCTTACCAAATATGGTCATAACCTTGCATTTTCTTTTGCTTGTATTTGCTTTTATATTTTGGGTTTTTTGTTTGTTTTGTTTTTGTTTTGAGACAGGGTTTCTCTGTGTGACTGTCCTGGAACTCACTATAGTTCAGGCTGGCCTTGAACTCAAGAGATCCACCTGCCTCTGCCTCCCAAGTGCTGGGGTTAAAGGTGAGCACATTCACAGTCCAGCTGTATTTGCTTTTTTTTAGAAAGTTTCTTTTTAAAAATATTTTTTTGATTTCTTTATTTTATGTGTACATCTGTTTTGTACACATGTATATGTACTACATGCATGCCTGGTGCCTGCAGAGATCAGAAGAGGGCATCAGATCCCTTGGAACTGCAATTACAGACAGGTGTGAGCTGCCATGTGGGTGCTGGGAACTGAACCCAGATCCTCTGCGGAGCATCAGGTGCTCTCAGCTGCTGAGCAGTCTCCACCCCCCACCCCTATCCCCACCATGGTGAGCATGTGGAGGGTCAAAGGACAGCTTGTGGAAACAAGTTCTTTTTTCCTACCATGGGGGTCCAGGCTCTAGGTGTTAGTACCAGTGGCCATCATCACTGAGCTGTCTACCCATCCCTCGTTAAAGTTTTCAAATCTGGAAAGGGCTTTTAAAAAATAGTCCTGAATTTCAAAAGTTGTGAGCTGCTTTTACCGGTAGTGTATGAGAACAGCCATTTCTCTACATTTTTTACCAGCGGTGGGCATTGTAGCCCTGTCTCCTAACCTTTCCCAGTTACCGTATGATAGACAGAAAATGAGATCTCAATATTAAATTTTGCATTTTCAGAGTTCGATCACTTTTCCATATATTTTCCGGGCTACTTATGAGCCATATGCGTGGCCTTTTCTCTTACTCCGTTGAAGTCTTCATTTTTTGTACTGATCTGTGGCACTTTTTATGGAATCAGATCACTGATCCTCTGCTGTGTTTTCCTGGTTTATCATTTATTTTTTAAATATGCTTAGTGTATATTTTGACAGCTAAGTATATAACATTTTTAAAAATTCTTTTATTGGTTCTTTGTGGATCTCACATCATGCATTCTGATTGCATCCATCTCCCAGGCCCCAAATTTGCCCTCTTTCCCCAAGCAAAGCACAATTTAAAAGAAAAACAAAACCAACAACAATAAAAAACGAGAAGAATCTTGTTGTGGAAGTTGTATAATGTGACCTGATATATTTTAGGTTTATTTATTTTTTTTCTTCCTTTTTCGAGACTGGGTTTCACTGTGTAGCTTTGGGCTCTACCCTGGAACTAGCTCTTGTAAACCAGGTTGGCCTCCAACTCACAGAGATCTGCCTGTCTCTGCCTCTCAAGTGCTGGGATTAAAGGTGTGTGCCACCACCACCTGGAGTATTTTACATTTTTATATAATCTTACTAATTTCTCTTTATAATTCAGTGGTTTGAAAAATATTTTCACACAGTTGTATAATTTCTACCATTATCTAACAATATACTAATTTTTACATGTGAGTTTTTATTGTTAATCTTTGAATTTTATTTAACTATTTTTTATTTTGTAAACATTTTTTCTGTAGAGGATTCTTGAGTATTAATACCCCTATGATTACTTTAGTTTTCAGAATATTAAACAGATGTCTGTTCTTGTTAAAATATAAAGCCGGTCTTAGGGGATCCTTTGCATACATTTAGTTATATAAAAACTTAACTAATAAAAACAGGGATGTCTTTTGTAGATTAATAAAATACAGAAAAATCAGAGGACCCCAACCCATACTTAATGTCAATTTTTGGATCTGTGGAATGAATATAGAGAAATTCCCGGGACCAGGGAGGTGGTTAAGCTGATACAGGCACTTGTTGCCGAGCCCAGTGACCTAAGTTCAGTTGCTAGACTGGGAACTGACTCCTGCAAGATGTCCTTTGACCTCCACACTCCCCAGGCATATGTGAACACACACACACATACGGTACAAAAATAAACAAATAGATGGATAGCCCTTTTTAAAACAGAAAAGTCTATGTCGCTCCCACTTACATCTATTTTTTTTTTTTTTTTTTTTTTTTTTTTTTTTTGAAAATGAGCAACTGAGTCTATACTTTTCCCTAGGGCCCGGGGCCTGGTGTCTCTGGTAGGTTGGAGTGTTTGCTAGTGTTTACATTTCTTCTCTTTTCATTTCTTTTCTGCTTAGAGAGTTTACTCTGAGGACCACACAGACATCTCACAAAGTACTTAAGGGTTACTAGTAAGACAGTGAAGCTATTGAGAATATAATTTAAATCACCCATGTAAGTTTTGTTTAACTCTAAATGACTACAGTTGTTAAGGTGCCAAACCACTGGGTGTTTCTCTTTACTTGCAACTATTTGTGAAGTTCTCAAGAAAAGAGCAACTCAGTTTTAAGTCAGTTTAGCACTCTGGGTCCTTGTGGAGTGCTGCTACCTATGGGAAGGACTGACACTTCCTAAGCTTCTAGCCGTGCATCTGAACCTCCCTCTCTTGCCGTCAGATGCTGTCCTTCATGTACGCACATCTGGCCTTCTTCCACCAAGGCTATGACCTGTTCAGTGAGCTCGGGCCCTACATGAAAGACCTTGGAGCGCAGGTAACCTCTTGAACTGGGTTTCTGTTTTGTGTTGCTTGTGTTTCTAAAGCTATTTAGCATACTGGGGAATCCCTGGGGAATCTGGTTTCTCATTTACTTACAAAGAGTTTGATACTGTAGCACCCTTACATGTGGGTTAAATGTTGAGTCAGAAATGAGCTTAAAGGTGGAAGTGCCTGAGGAAGGGACTTAGATAACTTCCCCTTCGGGTGGCGCGCACACACAGCTGTTGTCCTGGCTCGTGGAGTCTGAGGCAGGTTGAGATACACATGTGCCTTTTAAAGTACAAATAGCGGGATTTAGTCCTTGACTTTTTAAACTTGAATAATTGAGTCACTGACCTAGTTTGCTTTTATTTAAGACATTGCTCTTTTTATTTTCAAAAATTTATACTGGCTACTTGGGTAATAAGAGTCTTAGAACCATAAAGCTTCCAATACCACTTATTATTATTTATTTCACAAAGCTGTATTAAATATGTTTGGAGCTTTTTTTTTTTTTTTTTGGTGGTGGCAGCCCTGTGGCTCAAACACAGGGCCTTATACATTAGGCATGTGCTTCACCACTGACTTGGCCGGAGTCACTAAGTCACTTCAGATGGTGCTTTTTGTTGAGTATGTACCTTCTTACTCTGGTTTCATCCTAATCTGTGGGGTTTTCTTTCCCAGCATAGTTTCTGGGGTGAGAGGTTAAGGGAAAAGTAGAGTTTAGGGAAATGGGAGAGAGGTAACAGTGGAATGGGCTACCATTGAGTGATGAAAGCACATGTGCCGGAGGGGGAGGAGGGAGAGTGGATGGGTAGAGGATGGGTAATCCTCTGTGATGGGCAACCATGCTGGGAGTTATACCTAGTCTGGTCTTTGGTCTCCTGCACCGGGTTGCTATTCATTTCCATGCCAAGCACTCTGTATGTGTCAGTTGAGGTTGGGTCTGTTTGCAGCCCAACCGAGGAAACTAGGACTTCTGTCAAAGAATCTTATTTCTTTTATGTAAAGTCAGAAGCACAGGTTGATGGCCATCTATGTCACAGAGTAGCCTCGTGGTTAAAAGTGACTTACTTATCAACCTTAGCCATCATCCTCAAACTCCAGCTAACAGAAAGGAGGAAAGGGAAAAGAAGGGCACATATCGCCTAAGGACAGACATTTCCTGGAAATCGTGCATGTCCATTTTGCGTATGTTCCCAGTGACCCGGGACATACAGCTATGTTGCCAGAAGATGATCTGGCAGAATTAGGTGTGCGGAGGAAGTAGATACTGGGAGCAGTTAATCTTTTATACTACAGGAGAGGGTCAGTGTGATGTACAAACGCGTGACTATGACATCTGGTCCAGGCCTGGTGGGAGGTCAGGCCTTCCTGTGTCCTAGAAACTCTTTACTTTCATCCCTTTGCCTTGTAGTTAGCTAGTGGAAATTGTTTTGTGCCCTTCCCCTTCTAAACCAAGTGATTTTTCATTTTGCATGAAAAGCATGTATTAAGCCACACTTTTTTGTAGTAACCTGTTTAGATGTGGCCAATTAGGATAATTTTGTAGTAGCTGAGTAAGTAGGAGATAACATTTGAAATTATGGAATTAATATTCTTTTATTATTTTGTTTAATTTAACCTTTCAGAGCCAGGGCTTTATAGTCTAGTCTTAACTCCTGGGCTCAAGCAAGCTTATTACTGCATTGCCCCCAGTCCCCCAAGCTGTCTCTTACTGATTTGACCAGTTACAGATTAGATTATAATTGCAAGGAAGGCAAGTTGAAAACATGGTGTGTTTCCAGTGATGGGACGTATCTGTTGATGGGAGCTTGTGACCTTTGCCCTTCCTAGCTGAGCTGCATTACCTTTTGCTAGTGATGGAAAAACAAATCTTTTTTTTTTTTTTTTTTTTTTTAATGTGTGCTTTATTTTGTTTTTATCTTGTCGGCAGCTACCAGCATCTTCTAAGTGGGTCACAGGCACTTTAGGTTAGACTTTCTGTCCTTTAAGGATGGGATGTATACTGCAGCAATGCTGGAGACAAGGCCTCCAGCTTGGAAGCCTTTCCCCCTAAGATATCAGCTTTCTCAAAAAGGATTTAATACTAGAAAAATGTGAACTTCTACTTGAATGTTTAGCCAAAATGCTTTTTTAGGTTAATTTTAACCAGGTGATTTATATATATTTATCTGTCAAATGACTTGGAATATGGTTTACAAAATACCTTTGTTTCTTTGACTTTTAAGTCTAAAATTTTCTTCTTTCTTTCAGTTGGATCGACTGGTTGTGGATGCAGCAAAGGAGAAAAGAGAGATGGAGCAAAAACATTCTACTATCCAACAGAAGGTACAGGGCAGATTAGATTGCCTGGAATTCACAAGAATGTTCGAGTATGCAAGCTACTGTCATCACACAGATCCCTTAGGTGGCAGTTAGAGTAAAGCCTTCTTTTGTGGAAAAAAGTAAAATGTTTTAGATGTTAATGTATATACTTCATTATCTTTCCACATCAAAACATTTGCAAACTATGTTCTTAAACCAGTTTATAGATGCTGCTAATCTATTGGGGTGTAACTAAAGGTTACACCTTGTTAAAAGTTTGTATATTTTTCATGGTTTCATTTAGAATACCTATAACCACCTGCCAAAGTGTGTGTGTGTGTGTGTGTGTGTGTGTGTGTGTGTTTATCTGTACACATATGTATATGTGAGAGAGAATGTGTGCATATTTCTCTGTCTGTCTGTCTGTCTTTCCCTCCCCCCCCCCTCTCTTTCTCTCTCGGCACATCCCTTCTGGACCCTCATTGCTTGTTAATGCCTAAGCCTAGCTAAACTACCTTTGACAAGTATTTTTAAAAATGAGAATTAATAGTAAATTCTCACTTATTCATACAAGAGTTGAGTGTGTTGTGTCTGAAGCATAGGCTGATGGTATTTTGTAGATAATAGTCTGTGATGGATTTGTGCAGTGACCCAAGCATAAAAGGCAAGTTAGGGGTTGAATAGAAAGCTTTGTCATAGAAAGCTATGACAAAGTTCCTGCTACATGCTATCTTGATAATAAGCAATCGGATCATCTTTGATTACAGATTACGTAGAGCAGGTCACACACAGAAGATGTGAATGGGGAAAAATGGAGCAAAATCAGTAGCAAGTGTAAGAAAAATAATGTATTATTTATGTAAAAGAAAAATAACACATAGGATAGTAAAGACTTTTCTCTTAGACAATCCTTAAGTAAGTTACTTTAGTTACTAGAGGTTGAGGCTAACTCCCTATTTCTTTTGTTTAAGACGTGATGTTTCTGTATTCCCAGCCTAGCTTCAAGCGCGTAGCCCTCCCGCTCTTGCCTGCTGTGTGCCTGAGATTACAGGTGTGCACCTCCATCCCAGCTTCAGTTTAACTTACAGTTCGTGGCTGGCTTCCCTTTCTCTGCTTCCACTGTTTCCAGAGTCTTACTGTGTAGCTCTGATGGGCCTTGAACTCATGACCCATCTGCCTCAGCCTCCTGAGTACCAGGATTTTAGGTGTTTATTACGGTGCCTGGCTCTTTGCAGCATTTTGATGGCTAGCTTGTTTTAATGGCATTACTGTCAAATGATTGCTAAAAGTGGAATTAATTATTTTTTAATAAATGACAAATTGTGTTTCTAGAAATATGTGATTATTGATTAAATTGAGTGTATATATTTTAAAACATTTTATTATATACATAGTTCTGTATTATACTGAAGGCCTCAAACTGGTAAATTATCAACTCTGAGATTATTTGACCCTAAACGATACACAACTGTTTTCCTTTAAGAAAATAATGCTGTTTTTACTCATTGTGAATACTTTCTCTGTCCCCAAATGCTGACACAGGCTGCATTACAGGTAAAAGAAAAACAAAACAAAACCAAGTCAACTAAAATTTAAGGAAAAACATTTGTGACATACTTTTTAAGGCGTTTTAACAACTGCATTCATTGATCACTATGAGAGAGTGCCCCTGTGTGTCCTGCCCATGCCTTTGCTTGTCTTTGGGTATATGTTTACAGTAATGGAGGAGAGCTGCTATCCCAGACAGTGTGCTGGCAGGCAGTGCCGAGGTTCCCCGATGCCCTCACCGATGCACTGTGGATATGGACATCACCTTGTGGTTTTAATTTATGCACCGTTAGTGACTAATGAATTGTATCTTAAAGTCATTTGTGGTCCCTGTTTGGGAAATGTCTGTTCTTCCTTTTACTGCCAGTTTCTGAACAGATGGTCAAGTTCCTCACATATTCTAGATGAATGTGTTTCCCTGGTTTTCAGCCCTATCTGTGTCTGGTGCTTCCGTTGCTTGCTCAGCAGTCCCCATCACAAGATCACAAACACCTCTCCCACGTAGCTTTGCTTTTCATGTTTATATTTTTGCTTTGTTTGTTTTTTATAATGGTCCTGTGGATTGAACTCAGGCCTCGTGTGTGGTGGGCAGGTGCTTTGCCACCGAGCTGTGTCCTCAGCCCTGGCATTTAGCTCTTTAATTAACATGTAACTGGGTTCTTGTGTGTAGTGGGTAGAGATCTACTTCCTCCCGTGGATCTTGGTTAGCAAGCCTCTTCCTCTAATGCTCTGTGCCTCAGCATGTGTTACACCCCACACCTCTTCTGTCTGAGGTGCCTTCTGGGCTGTCTTTTCTCTCCCTTGGTCATTTTGTCTTGATTATCCCAACACATTGCCATCACAGTTTTTTTTTATCAGCTTTACAGTTGCTCTTCATGTATGAGAAAGCAAAGCTCCCACCCCATCTCTCTGCAGACTGAGTTTTGTGGGCATACAAACCCCAGGAGTAATTTAATTTTGTTCTATGACAAGAGCTTTCGGGGGACTGATGAGGTGACTCAGTGGGTACAGACAGCACTTGCCACACTAGCCTGGTAGTCTGGGTCAGTCTGTGAAACAAAGTCATCCTCCAGTCTTTATGAATGCTGTGGCATTTGCTAGTCCTCCCCCAGAATACACAACGTAGTAATTAATTAAAAGAAAAAAATAAAGCCTTTGGGATTTTGATGGAGGTTATATTGGATCTATGAGAAATCAAGTTTGCTTATTTTATGATAATGTCTGCACCACAGTCTTGTTCTACCTTCTCTTCTCTAATGATTTGAATAAGGTTTTGCGATTTTCTTACATACCTTTGGTTAGACTATTCCCAGATACTTACATTACACATGTTCCTGTAACAGCTCCCTTTAGAGAGTCACAGTTCGTTCGTCTCTGCTATATTTGGGTGAGATTGATCTCCCTGTATTGATTTATACCCAGCAGTCTCACTAATGCTCTTGATACTGATTTCTCTCTGATTCTTTTGACTGTTCTGTGTACAGCATCCTCTCCCTAAGTAAAGACATCACACTGTGCTGCTTCCCACCTTCACCTTTTCCGTGCTCAGCTTGACTAGGACCTTTACGGCAGTCTTGAATGGTAGTGGTAATGGTGGTTCTTGGCTCTCACTTGCAGGTTCGGTGGGGAGGCTTGTCAGCTCTCACTCGCTCTTCTTAGTTGAGCGATGTCCTTGTCCTGTTGACCCCTTTGTCTTCCAGTTTCCTTTGAGTGTCCTCTCCTAACTGTCAGGTCATAAATGTGTTCGCAGAGATTCCAGCAGCAACATTGCATTCACTCTTATTAGCTGCTTACATATGGAACCCACTGCGATTTTTCACACCTCAGTTCTTTATTAAGGGACATTAATAGCAGAAGACTCATCCGTCTCAAGAAGTGGTTGAGAATACAAGTTTACAGTGCATTACACATCCCAGGAAATTTTATTTTATGTAATGTTTTATATTATTACTGTTTTGGCGTTGGGAGTCTTAATGTGGCAGCCTTGCACGTGCTGGACAAGCACACTACTATTGAGCTGTACTCCTAGCCCCATTATTTATGCTTAGTTACTAGAGTCTACAGATGCTACAAACACAACATTTAGTCCTCCCAAGAAACTAAAAGTAAAACCACCATGTGACAACAGCTGTGCCTGGGCCTGCACCTGAAGTGTATAAGGGAAGCATTTGGCAGTGACACATGCACACTCGAGTTAATTGCTGCTCTTCTCAGTGGCCAAGATGTGGAGCCACCCAGGTGTCTTCATCAAACATTCAGCTGAAGAAAAGGTTACATGTCCATGCATAAGTGCACAGTCTCATATAGCTTTAAAGAAGAATAAAATTGTCATTTGCAGGAAGATGGATAGAAGTGGAAACAGAATAGGCAAGTGTCAGAAAGATAAATAGTAAGTTCTTTCTCAATATGGAATCTAGACTAATATGTTAATACTAAGTAAATGAAATCCACACACATGAATATGTCATAATTAACTTTATGCTGATTTAAAATTTAAAACTAGAAAGAAAACCTAAAAGCACACAACCCCTTTAAAGATGTTGTCAAGGTCAGGGCTGGGGAGATACTCGTTTGGTACAGTGTGTGTTATTGTCAGCTTGAGGACGTGTGGTCAGGTTCTAGCAGCCCTGTAAAAGGCTGGGAGTTGTGGCCTACACCTGCAGGACCAGTGCTGGGGAATTAGAGCTAGGTAGACCCCAAGAGCTTGCTTGCCAGCTAGTTTTGACAAACTGATGCACTCCAGGTTTATTGAAAGAACCTATCTTAAAAAAATTAGAGTAACAGAGGAAGATCCTCAGTGTTGACCTCTGGCTTCACATGCACACACGCATACACAGATGACCATGTATACATGTGTAAAGTACACACATATTGCAAAAGTCAGTTACTTCTATTGCTGACTTACTGCGCTCTGCTGTGAAGGATGACCGGTATATGTGCTGTGGCAGAGCACTTGTCTATTGTCCTGCATTCTGTTTCGGCACCACACATGCAAGTACACATGTATTCATTCACACATTTGCTCCTGTGCAGACACAGAGTAATGGGAATTTTAAAAACAGTCATACACATGGTTTTAATTTTTTCCAAAGAAAAAATATGTAGAAATATGATTCATTTATAGATTGGCTTTTTATTCTTAAAATTTGAAAGATACTAGGAATTTAAAAAAATTCTTAATTCTAGCTGTTTCCTTTTCATGTTTTAGCATATTCATGTTAGAAAACCCTGAGATGATTCTCCCCTACTTCCCCTCTAGCTGGTTTCTCCCAGCTAAGTGTCATCCAGTTTCTGCAGAAGCGATCTCGCTATAGGTAGAAGTCTAGCTTCCAGGGCTGGAGAGATGGGACGGCTTCAAAGTAAAGAGTGCTTGCTGCTCTTGCAAAGAGCCAAAGTTTGGTTCCCAGCACCCTGAATGGTTAATAAGTTGAAGCACGTCTCAATTATTACGTCCCTTTCCCCTGTGCTTGTGTGAGACTTACTGCAAACTCTTTTTCTGGGAACACAGTAGTCTGAGCTCATGTATCTTGTTTAGGACTTCTCCAGCGATGACTCCAAGCTGGAGTATAATGTAGATGCTGCGAATGGCATTGTCATGGAAGGGTATCTCTTCAAGCGAGCCAGCAACGCCTTCAAAACGTGGAACAGGTAACAGACTTCAGACATTAGTCTTGATTTTAACATGTTTGCCATTTTCTGCCTTTCCTTGTAATTGGCAACTCTTTGCCCCCCCAGACTAGCTAAATTCTACAAATTCCTTAACTGTTTAATATAGTCCACTGAGTTGTAAGGGTCAGGTGAAAAGTGAGAACACAGATTTTTAGATTTGAAACTTAAGGCTTAGAGGAGAAAACTAGAATTTGTTAATGCTTGGTCTACAATGATTTTATATATATACATGCGTGTGTGTGTGTGTATATATATATATATATACACACACATATATATATATACACATATATGTATATATACATACATACATATGTTATTAAGAATTTACTTGTGGTTGGGTGGTAGTGGCCAAAGCCTTTAATCCCAGATATAGGAAGCAGAGACATGTGGATCTCTGAGTTTCAGGCCAGCTTGGGCTATAGAGCTAGTTCCAGGACAGCCAGGGCTATAAAGAGAAACCTGTCTTAACCCTGCTCCCCAAACTAAGAATTCACTTGTGGGTTTTAAGCCCAGGTGGTTCTGATTTTTTGGCCATTGTAATAGCACTTAAGTAGGGTATGGGAAGAAAATGGTAGCCATTATTTCTTTGTAATTACTAGCAAAAACTTAGAATTTTTGCTTAGTTAATTTTTATAAAATATAAAACTATCTATTAAATGTCTTATAAGAATGGAATTATAGCCAGGATTACAGGGAGGCACCTGTAATCCTACCAGGAGGTGACGGCAGGAGGATTTTCAGTCCCTGGCCTGCTTGGGTTGCATAGTATGATGTTGTATCAAAAATTGAAAAACAAAACAGAAAGAAAATATAAAATACTGTATTTCATACCTAATAGCATTGGAAGGTATCTTGGCTCAGGGCCATCCTTCTGCATGTTAGTGATTGATCTTTACTCAGGATGCCTCCCCCCCTTTTTTTTTTTAAATCGAAAAAGGACATTTTTATAATAAATAATTGAGAGTAGTGTCTGTGTTCTGGGTAATTGATTTGTTATTGCAAGGTCAGCTGAAATGTCTTCCTCTGTGTTAAGAGCAGGTTCTGCCTTCATCCAGTGATGGAGATGCTCCTTAAGATGAATGTCACTAAGATAGAGAGGGTCTCCTCACTAGTTCATTGGTGTACAGTGTGTTAATTTAAATGGGGACCTCACTGCTGTATTGAGATGGGTTCTGATTGCTCTTAGATTTCTTGGTGTTGAAATTCAAAAGCATCAGTGATATTTTTAAATGTCAGTGGTTTATGGAGCTTTTCTCTACTATTTGATGTTGTAGTAAATCTAAGTGGTACACGATTTATTTGAAAAAAATTTCTCATTTGAGAATGAATAATCTGGAAAGAATAAACATATTTAATATTAAGACTGAGTTATATAGAACTTTTAAGTAAGACCTGGGTATTGGAGGATCACCTATAATGATCTGTTATCAGTAATGCTTCTAGTTATTATACAGTGAAAGTGAAAAATTAAAATTGTGTTTCATGAGCTGAAATGTGAAACAGTAGTCTTTTAAGTCCTTATTGGGAAATTCTGTAGCTAGTGTAGGAACTAGAAGCAACTAGAACGTGGTAATTTTATAAGACTATTCAGCCAGAGTGGTGTTATAATGTAATGTTAGAATTGAAATTTATCCTGCAGATTTACACCTCCTTCAAGTTTAAGAAAACAAAAGCCAAAATACAATAAATCCCTAGAAACATAATCATCATGTTAGCAAGAAGAGAAAATGGATTTCCTTGGACCACTTTAGTGTGAAATGTCATCTGAGATTCCAAAGCGAAGCTCAGTTAGTCTTAGTGGGGAATTCAGTTGCTGTTCAGAGCAAATGTGGACCTTTTTTGTTCTTATTATTTGTCTTATGAATCATATTACCTGGCATTGATACTGGAGCAGCTGTAAAGGCCCCGCTGTAGATGTGCTAGGTCTGCGGGATGAAAAGGTGCCCCCTCAGAAATGAAGCTGCCGGTTGAAGGGCTGCCCGGGACCCCTGGGATCAGCAAGGACAGGGAGATCTAGCGAGATGAATGCAATGAAGAGGGATTTATTTTTCTCATGGATTTTGAATCTGGGAATTAAAGATTGGATGACTCCATTGAGGGGCTGTGTCGAGGGGCTGTGCTGAGGGGCTGTGTTTCAGGAGCAGAGCTGTGTGGCTGAGATCTTATCTTGAGATAGGAAGCCAAAGAGCAGGAAGGGAAATGACCAATTCCTGACGAACATTTACTTCAGGAGACCATCACTGATCCCTTGCACAGGCAGCATCCTCAATGATGTAGTCATCTAGCTCACTGCCCTGCCTCCAAGGATTTCACTCTCCTACTGGTACCACAGTGTAAGCCAGACCTAGTGCCAAACCTTTGGGGGGATAGACCATATGCAAAAGGTAGCAGAAGGGAATTGCACGAATGGGGTAAGAAAGAGTTCAGAGGCTTCTCAAATATCTAATTTCAGGACATGCAAATAATCTTCCTCCATCCATTTGGATTTAGTGTCTTATGAGTAGTTTTGCATCTAATTTATTATAATACATTCTGCTTCTCTGAATAAGACTATATATTCCTTAATATTAAAAACATCTCAGAGGCCAGGCAGTGGTGGTGCACGCCTTTAATCCCAGTACTCAGAGGCAGAGGCAGCCAGATCTCTGTGAGTTCTAGGCTAGCCTGGTCTATAGAGAGAGAGTTCCAGGACAGGCTTCAAAGTTACACGGAGAAACCCTGTCTCAAAAAACCATAATCAAAGCCAAACAAAGCAAAGCAAACCAAAAAGCCATCTTAGAATCTATCTCTTCAGACATTAAGCTTTCCTACTCACTGCTTATGTATTTTTTTAAAAAATAGTGTTTGATTAGTTTCAAGGAAAATCCCCACCCCTTTTTGTAGCTACCATAGGCACCAATCATAAAAATGATTCAGTTGCTCTTATCTATAATTTTATGAAATTATGTCATATTTTAAGCATCAGCTATCAAAGATGTCCATCCTGAGGGACATGTGAGTGTGATTAAGAATTCCCAAATGTTAAAAAAAAAATATGTCCTTCATGGTTCATAAATTATACTTCCTCTTTAAGGGCAGTGTCCAGTATTGATTAGTGTACCATGATAATTATGTTCTGTGTGTGAGAGCAGATGGTTCTCATGTCCTCTATGCACCACCAGTCATGTTCCTGCTGGATCCCGGTGTCTTATTTGTGGCATTGCAGCATATAAACGAGTATCCCGAGTATCCCGTTGCTCTCTGTGTGACCTTACACTTAGGGACTCAACCAACTGAGAGTCAACAGTTTTGGGAGAAACCAACTGCATTTAGCATGGAGGTTTTTTTCTTGTAATTGCTCTGTAAACAATTCAATGATATTATTTACATAGCGTTTACAGTATAATAGCTCTTGCGAGTAAATGGGGGGGGGGGGTTTGAGCTCACTTAATTCAAGGCCCAGGTGGGGAGGCACCATAGCCCAGAGAGGGCAGCATGGCAAGTCTTTCTGAAACACACACTCACACACACATTCTCTGTCTGTCTCTCCGTCTCCTTTCCCCCTCCCCTCTTTTCTTCACACACACATACTCTCACATTTATGATTCTATGCAAATGCTGCATTTTATCTTAGAGAAGTTGAGCATCTACAGATGTGGATATGTGTGACTGACTTCTAGAACCAAGCGCTACACTGACACCAAGGGACTGCTCTATTTTTCTGGGGGTGCTTGTAAGGTCTGCCATGGTGAGGTGAGCTTTCTTAAGTCATTTTCTCAGTATGGCAGTTTCAACTCAGACTGTAAACACTGGAACCCACATTTCTCTTTTGTTTCACAATTTGTTTCACAATGAATTTGGAAAGAAGACAACAAGGAAAGTAACTGTTAACATAATTCAGCACTAAGTTGAAAAGGCTAATAAAAGAAGCAGACTCCTTTGTTAGGCCAGAAAATATAACCCAGTGCTTAAAATGTATTATATAAAAGTTTAAAGCACAGTGTCCTATATACTGTTGGTACAGATAAAAATGTTTTTATTGGCTTTTTGTTTTAAACTATGAAGTGTGTACATAGACCAAAAATGAGTCTTCTGGGTGGAGTGTGTACACCTGTGGTCCCAGAACCTGGGATGGGGAGGAAGGAGGATTATGGGTGCAAGCTCAACCTAGGCTACACAGCCAAGCCTTGTCTCCGCCTTCCTGCTCCCCTAAAAACAATAAAGGAGTTATATTTATATGTGGCCTTAGAGTCTCTTATCATTTGATGATGAAGACAGATATGGGTAGGTGGGAGGTTTATCAGCCACTATTTTATGATCTTGGAAATTCTTAATTAATAACCCTACTTTCTTTCCGAAAAGTTTTTTATTTCCTTAAGGCTTCTGTAGGTGAATGTTCCTCTTACCTTCCAGGCACAGATTATTAAGGTGGTACAATACTATCTGTATTTCCAAGTTATAAACATGGAGGCAGACAATCATAATAGGTGTGTAAGGTAATAGTAATGTAATAATTCAAATATTCTCAGAGTATTTCAGTTTCTTAAGAATTGAAATTCTATAAAATGTATATATTTGTAATACATAAATACAACACATGAATACATTGCATTGTTAGGTCGTTAGCTTAAGCTTGTTTCTTTAATTTTTTTTTTTTTGGTCTTATTTTTTGTATCATGCTGGTCCTTTGCTTATTTGCGCATTTGCATTTTCTTTCTTTTACACCTTTCCCTTTTGTTTTAACCCTGCCCCATTTTTTCACATGACAGGAAAAAGCCCGATCATATCAGGTACCAAATAGCTTCCTGCCTTCCCTCCTCTTATCCAATTTCCTCTGTAGCACGAGAAAGCCTGATTAACCCGTTCTCAGGTGGATTACTTGCAATGGACAAAAAAATCTCTTTGTGCTCTAAATTGGAAAGAAAACATAAGAATTCATATGAGGAAGAGAATTGCACCTTTTAATTGCCTGTGTCCTCAGTTGATTTAAACTGGGAAAGGACAGTTGATGTGCTCAGAATTACCCACAGTAGATGAAAAAACAAAGGCCCCCCCCCATGGCTTTTGTTTTTTGACTTAAAGTAGCAAACTATGTTTAAGATGAAGCAGGGGCTGGGATGAGTCTTTTGGCAGCAGCTCATTGCATTAAAAGAATCTGTTGTCAGGTCATAGGTTTTCTTTGCCACTTTATTCCCTTTAGATTGTATTAAATGTGTATCTGTCTAGCACCTAAACATGAACTCATAACTTATATAGTCTTAGTTATAAAGCTTCTTTTGATTTGGAACTGACTCTGACTTTTACCAATATTTTTGATACTAAGATCAAACATGGTAAACTATATTTGATTTTTATCAATTTATTTTTTTCCCATTTGACCTAAATTTTGTCACCTGGAAGTTCTCCTTGATATGTAATAGTATTTATTTTTTTTTTAAAAAAATAAGTATAATATGTTGGTCTAAATTATACTAAATTGCTTTTGTTTGATACAGATACAAAATGTGTCTTACTTTTTTTACACTTAAGAAATTAGTCTTGGGCTGGAGAGATGGCTCACAGTTAAGAGCACTGGTTGGTTTTCCAGAGGTCCTGAGTTCAATTCCCAGCACCCACATGATGGATCACAACCATATATAATGAGATCTGATGCCCTCTTCTGGCATAAAGACAAAAATACAAAAATACAGATAGAGCACTCATATCCATAAAATAAATAAATATTTTAAAAATTAGTCCTATATTTTGTGCTCTATTTTTCAGTCTTGTAAATTATGTACTATGTTAGCTTTCAAAACTTGTCTCTTGTCTCTAGTTACAGTTTGTGTAGTACTTTAAAATTTCCAGTACCATGTGCTTCAAATGCTAAGTATTTGTGTGTGTGTGTGTATGTAATTCATAGGCTGTGAGCTGTTCATCACACTTTCCCTTTCTTGGGAATATTAATAGTCACTAGGATTATCTTATAGGAACATTTAAAAACTCCATTCCAGTGGTTGAAGAGAGAGCTCGGTCAGTAAAGTGCTTGCCTTGCACATACGAGGACCCAAGTTTGATCTCCTATAACCACACACGAATGCCAGGTGTAGTGGTATGTGCACTGAAGAGAGAGAGATGGGTGGATCTCTAGGGCTCACTGGCCAGCTGGGCTAGCCCAGTTTGTGAGTATAAGAGACCTTGTCCAAAGGAGTTGGGCAGTGCCCTAAGGATGATCCCCACGATTGTCCTCTGGCCTCCACATGTGTCTGCATGTATGTATATGCGCACCAGAACACAAGCATGCACTCCCCAGATGTGCACACAGGTATGTCGTTACTTTTAGGTACATGGTTGAGGTTCTGCCTGGTGTTAGATACATGTTTCTAATGGTAGTAGAAGGAAGGAAGATTTTGTCAGACAAACACATCTTTGTAATTCCATTCCCGCTACCTATGATGTATTATGCTTTCTTTAAGCAAGTAGCAAACAAAGAGAAATTTGTATTGTCTTTTCTAAGTGTTTTATAAAACATGATGATGTAAGAATGTCACCCAGAAGCAGATAAATGTCAGGGAAGCTGAACTTCAGGAACACATGTGCTCCATAAGGTTAATAACGGAAGGGAACAGTCTCCGATGGGACAGCAGCATTTTCATAGTATATTATTATTATTACTATTAATAGTTCTAGAGAGTACTATCCTAAGATAGACCAGGTCAAAAGAAAAAACAACTTTTGAGGATCTCAGAAGCACAACAATTTTGCATTTTCATATGGATGTCTTCCCATTAATAAAACTTTTTCTCAAACTGTGTAAGATAACTACTATGATATACAGCTTGTACATTTTTATTAATATAGTTCACCCTCCTCAAATGAGTTTTACACACAATGTTTTAATCAGATTCAGAGATTGTCTCCATTGCATGTCATCCCACGTGGCAGGGTGTACCACTTGGTTGTGTGTAGGAATTTCCTCTAACATTTCTAACCGGCTGCCTGTCCCCAAACCAGAGCCTTGGAAGTTCTTCCTTTTCTGGTCTGTTGATTTGCGTTCAGTGGCACCCCATTTTATTTTATTTAGATGCTAATTAGCAAACTTTTTCAATGAAAAAGGTAATAAATACACTTTTAAGTGGTAAGAAAACCCACCCACCCAGTAAAAGACTTAAACCCCTCAAAGTGTCTTCAGGGCTCTTTCTCAGCTTTGGAGAAATAACTAAAAATTTGAAAATAGAAATTCAAAGCACCCAAATATAATTTCTAGTGATTTGTATTACTGTCAATGAAAAGGTAGAATCTCTATCCGCTAATAGATTAATAACTAATGTTTATATTAAAAATCATCTCATATAAAACTAATTTAAAAAAATAACTCAAGTACTGTTCACTTTTCCTGCCTGTGAGAAGTCTTGCTTTCTTTATGAATGGCTTTTGGCTGTGATTTTTTTTTTTAATGTCTTTAGTTCTTTTTATTATTTTAGTAAATTAGAATTAGTGCATATGGCTTGCATTGCCTAGCCATTTTCCTTAAGAAGATTGTGAGCAATTGTTTTTGCTAATAACAGTGATGAGGAGAGCTATTTAAACAGTTGGTGGGATGGGGAGGGGGGGTCATATATGTAACATGTTATTCGTCTGAGAAGTAAGAATTCTTATATGAGATAAAGTTTGTGATAAAGTTTGATTAGTCTGTCTTGTTGACCAGATCAAACATTTGCTGAATTAGCTTCTGAAAGTTTGTAAATAAAGCACCATTTATCTTAATATAAATGGATATTTTATTTGTAGTTTATGTTTTCTTTATCATAAAAATAGAGATTTGAGGGGAAAGATATTATTTTTGCACCTCAAAAAAAAACAAAAAAACAAAAAACAAAAAACCTGTAAATTTGTACTTTAACAATAGTTATGGCCTTAACAGGAAAAAAATGAAAGCTTTTGTTAAGATATAAAGTTATGACATAAAATGAACCAAAACATAGCTAATTTATCTCCCTAGCCTGTGATTTTTACGATTATTCTTAGTTTTCAGTAGTTATCTCACATGCCTCAGTTTATGGGAACAGAGCAGTGCATTTCTCCAGACACCATCACCCGACACGGGCATCTAGACTCACTTTCCAGCCACAGAGTGATCCATGTGCGCCATCTTTAATCTGTCTGTCTTTATCTAGACGCTGGTTCTCCATACAGAACAATCAGTTGGTTTACCAGAAAAAGTTCAAGGTACGTGCCTTGTTAAGCAATTGTGAAAACTGGTGAGTTCTGGTTTTAGTTCTTTGTCTCTTTGTCTTGGTGAACACCAAAGTCCATAAATATCCATATGCAAAATTCTGAAATTACTGTTTATTGGTTTATGTTTGGATATGCACAACAAGTGGAGTGGAAGCTGTTAACACTAGTCCTTACAAGCTGAGTGATTTGATTCTCAGTTCTTTTCGAAAATAGATTTATTTTCATTTGTGTGTACGTGTGTGTCTGAGTGCACGTTTGTGCGCCTGACTGCAATGCCCCCAGAGGTACCAGACTGCTATCGTAAGGCATGGTCTCCCATGCAGTCTTGGCCAGCCTGGAACTCGCTGTGCATCCCAGGCTGGCCCCCAGCTGACAGAGATCTGGCAGCCTCTGCCTCCTGAGTGCTGGGATTAAAGGCGTGGGCCGCTGTGCCTTGCATTGCTTTCACTGTCTTTAATTATGAGAGTGTATGTGTCTCTGTACATGTGAGTGCAGGTGCTCACAGAGATCACGGGTGTTTGGTCACCCTGGAGAGGGAGTGCAGGTGGTCATGGGCGCTGATGTGGGTACTGTGAGCAGTGAGGACCCTGAACAGCTCAGCCATTTCTTTAGTTCTCTAATTATGGATTCTTCCTTTTTAAACAGCTTTTTCTTTTTGCTTCTTTGAATGTGTATGGGTATTTTGCCTGTATGTATGTCTCTGTACCATATATGTAGTGCCCACAAAGACCAGAAAATCGCATCAGATCCCCTGGAACTGGAGTTACAGGTGCTGGGAATTGAACCTGGGTCCTCTAGCCAGTGCTCCTAACCTAGCTAGTGCTCCTAACTGCGGAGGCATCTTTATATCCCCCTTTTATATGGATTTTATTTTTATTCTTAATTATGATGTGTATACGTATGTCTTGCGTGTGGATTTGTACACTTGAGTGCGGTGCCTGAGGAGGTCAGGAGAGGGCATCAGACCTCTTGGAATTGGAGTTAAGAGGCAGCTATGAGCTGCCTGACCCTAACTAACCCTGTCCTCTGTCAGAGCAGTATACACTCTTAACCACTGGGCCATCTCTCCAGCTCTTAATTCTGAAGTTTTAATTCCTAGCTTTAAGATGTTTTGTGTACCAAGGCTATTACCTTCATTTTATTAAGTCCTTTTGTTAGTTATGTGGCAGGATGAAGTCTAACATCCCATAGTAATATTTTGAGGCAGCAGACAGTTTGTCTTCTAGAACACATTATTTTAGGACCAGTGGTGATAGGGTAGAATGCTTTAAAATGACAGAAGTCAAAATGTACACTGTTAATAATGTAGATAGGAACCCTGTACTTTGTTACTGATGTGTTTATGTGTTTGTTTTCTTGGCCTCATGTCAAGGTAAGAGTTTTATGTATTGGGAAGGTGTACTGGGAGAGTTTGTGAGAATGCTAGACACTGGAAAGAAAACCATCTGTTAATTGATAGTGTAACCGTGACTGTCAGATACCTACTTGGCCTGTGAGATGGCTGCACTAATTACAGGTTTGTGGGAACTTTGTAGCTAATCCATTGGTGCTTTCTTCTGGTTTCTACACAAGTATTTTAATTGGGGAGTGGTAAAATCTTTTCTCTTTCTTGTAAGAATTTTAAGAAGAATATACCAATTTTTTGTTTCTCATTGGAATACTTAAAACATGATTTATTAAAGGCTTCTCTCTGGGGAGAAAGTAGCTTTTCTGTATATGAGTGGGACCCCAAAGAATAATGGGTGTCAGTGGGGTGGAAGAAGGCCAACAAGGAGATAATATTTTTGAGTATTTGTTAAGTGTCGAGTGTGAACCAGTCCTTTCTCTAAATGATTGCACTTGATTTGCGTATAGTAATTTGATGCAGCAGACTGAGCAGTATGGAACTGTCTCTGTTAGTTCTATGTCTGCCTAGTTCCTGTCTATAGCAGCACTATGAGGAAATAGAGGTCTTTTAAGTGAGGCCGTTGTTGGAGTGCGTTGCAGCCTACTGTTGCTGGCAGTGCTGGGAGCGGGCCCGCTAACCCTTCGCTTGCCTCCTTGCTGCAGGACAGCCCCACTGTGGTGGTGGAGGACCTCCGACTCTGCACAGTGAAGCACTGCGAAGACATAGAGCGTCGCTTCTGCTTTGAGGTCGTCTCTCCGACAAAGTAAGACGCTTGCTTGGGAGAATTTGAGAGCTGTCTTCATGTTTCTGTAGCTTGTCCCAAAAATCTGCCAGATGTGAGAGCTCTGGTTTATGATTGTCAGTGGAGTAGAAAAATTAATGTTTTAAAGTGAATTCCTGTAGCAACTATAGATGTTATATCCGAGTATTTATGAAACTTCTCTCCATGTGTCATATTCTTTAAAATCTGTAGATATTGCTTGTTTATTTACTTAGTGGGGCCATGAGCATGTTAGGCAAGCAGCTACTGCTGAGCTGAGCTGTGTTCTTCTTGGAAGCATATGAATGTGCCCTTTATGTAAACATTTATGTGAAAACATGGTAAACTTCTTTGTTTATATCTTGATGATAGTGAGAATTGAACTCAGGGCTTTGAACTTGGCATTCTCCTGTCTCTGCCTCTTGAGTAGCTGGGATTACAGATCTATGGCACCAAACCCGGTGGTCCATGTGAAAATTTTTTTTTAGATCTTATGTTGAATTGAAAGTAAATGTTAGATGAAATTTTTACTCCACTTAAAAAAAAAAGGTACTGTGGAGAGAAAAGGAGGGAGGAAGGGAGGGAAAAGGAATATGAGAGAACACACACATATATACACATGTACACACAAATGCATGCATGCACGTGCACGTGCACACGCGCACGCGCGTGCGCGCGCGCGCGCACACACACACACACACACACACTTTACCCCTTTGAGAGGATTTCCTTATGTAGTCTGGTCTGACCTCATTCCCAGCCTCGAGATGTGGGGTTACAGGTATGTACCACTGTATTTGACTCATTGGCATTGGGATAGGTCTTTGTTTTTGAGTGATGATTTTGTTTCATTTGTAGCTTGATGTTGTCACAATCATACTTTGCCCTATAGATGGATGAATGTTGACACCTTATTTCAACTAAAACTGTTTTGTTGCTGAAGAGTATTACTGGGCAAGAAGAGAGATGGTTCATGGTTTAAGAGCCTCAGCTGAGCTTCCAAAGGACCAGGGTTCACTTTCCAAGAGCACACATTGATGGCTCACAGCTGACCATGACTTCAGGCTTGGGGGGTCTCACTCTCTCTTCTGGCCTTCAGGGACATCACACACACACACACACACACACACACACACACACACACACACACACACACAGACAACATTCAGGCAAAACACTAACATACATACAATTTTTAAAAATGTACTGAATAGCACAATGAGAAAATATAAAATGTATGGCTGTTTTCCCCTTCTGATCTAATGTCTGACAGAATGATGCTATTTCCTTGTAGAAGTTGTATGCTCCAGGCAGATTCTGAAAAGCTTCGCCAGGCCTGGATTAAAGCTGTGCAGACCAGCATTGCAACTGCTTACAGAGAGAAGGGCGATGAATCAGAGGTTAGTAGAGGTGCTGTCAGCATCTTGGGGTATGCTGCTACATGTTTTAAATTTCACTTGTGACATATGATTATGGCATCCTTTTTATGGAACGCCATTTTATGTAATTGAAATTTTTTAAGACTTTAGAGTCAAGTTCTTTTTATTTACCTTTTTTGTATGTTCTTTCTCCCTCCCTCGCTTCTTTTCCCTGCTTCCCCTACTCATACTCCCTACAGTCTCTCTTTCATCCTTCTCTTTATTTCTTGTCAGGTCATGTAGCCCAGGATGGCTTAGGACTCACTCTGTAGCTGACAGTGACCTTGAACTTGTCCTCCTCCTGTTCTGCCTCCTGAGAGCTGGGATTGCAGGCATTCACCAGCACACCTGATTTTAGACTGCTTGGGATCAGGCTCAGGGCTCTGTGCATACTATACACATGTAACTGAGCTATATCTCCAGCCCTTACCTATTCTTTTCTTTCAGTGTCCAAATATATCTTTATTTTAGTGTTTGAATGTATATTCAATGTATATTCCAGATTGAAATACAGTGTTCCCCTGTTAGTGGGTTTCTCCTAAACATTTTGATATTTTTCATTAATAAAAGATTTTGTGAGTTTACAATTAATTTTATGTAAGTAAAATGCAAAGAAGGAAAGTCCTGTTGTCTCTTAATTGAAAGCTTCTCAAAGAATCAGCAAATTCTTTGGACGGGCATAAATGAAGCCTTGAGAAACGAAACTGTTTCTGGGTCTTTGGTGTGGGCTGAGGCATAGACTCAGTGATAGATTGCTAATAGGAATGTTTTCTAAGTTGTATTTCAAAGATTATCATGGGCAACCTGGGACTCCCAGGAGTAGATGAAACTAGAAGCTTCTTAAGCAGGCACTGAGGGAACTCCTTGTTCTAAGCAATTAGTCTCCGAAAAGGGGTTTCTTCAGTCTTATCATTTACCTGGCTATTGTTGAGTACAGATACTGAGAATATTGGCAAAGGGCATGTTGCTGAAGAGAGCCCCCAATATTGTGTGTTATCTGAATCACCTCTCCATTCTGGGTCAGTTACCCTTAAATGTTCCGTGTAATATAGTTATTAACCTGGGGTTGTCCTTCACTATTTTCCAGGAAGTGAGACATTTGAAATTCCATGTTCTCCTGAACAGTGGTTTATTTTGTTGTTACATTTGTAGTTTGGCCATGTATAGAAGTTATAGGTTGGAAAAAGTTATCCTTAAGAAACAACATTATAGCGGGGTGATGGTGGCTCACGTCTTTAATCCCAGCACTTGGGAGGCAGAGGCAGGTGGACCTCTAAGAATTTGAGATCAACCTGGTCTACAGAACAAGTTCCAGGATAGCCAGAACTACACAGAGAAACCCGGCCTCAGGGGTGGGTTGGGAGAAAAGAAACAGCATTAAGTTGTTTCTTCTGCTTTTGTTCTTTAGTTTCAGGGTTGCTTTTTTTATTACTGACCTTTCCTATTCTCTGCAATTCTCTCTTTCTGGAACTTCTGAATAACATTCTTTTCTGTTTTTGAGTATTGCTAATTAGCTAGTGTCTCTCTAGTTTTCAAGAATTCAATTTTGTTCACTGAATATTTATTGAATCTGTTATTTTGTCACAATGAGATATTAGAACTAGCTATTAACCTTCACTTCTTGAAAAAAGCTCTCATTGTTTAAGTCACACCCCTAAAAACAATTAAATTGTGTTGAAAACCAGGCATCTATTTTTATTTATTGTTTTTTATAATCTTCTTTGTTATTTAGTATTGATCATATACACCTAGCACTACTTCCCTTTAGTCCTCGCTAAAGAACACCACTTACTTTCTCTCCTCTTTTTAATTTTTGTTGTTAATAATCCTCTGAGCTCATGTACAAAGGTGTGTGGCTAACTCCTGAGGCACATTCCCCAAGGAGGGATTCTCCTTCCCTCTGCAGCCATCAACTGCCAGTCTCTCCTGATAGGAGTGGGGCCTCATGGTCTCATCCATCATCCATGTGAGAGTTTTGATTGGCTTGATCTTGTACAGGTCTTCTGCAGGAAACCACAGTTGCCATGAGCTGATGCAGTCAGCAACCATGCCGTGTCTAAATACGAATGCTCCATAGTTCTCCCCCATGTCTGCCAGCTCTTAGACGACTCTGCCCTCTCTTCTTCCCTGAGCCTTGGATGGTGGGTGTTTGAAACAGCTGAGCCATCCACAGTTGAGCACTCAGAGTTACTTATTTTCAGCACTTTGAGCAGTTATGAGTCCCCGCGTTAACCACTACTCACTGCCAAGTGAAACTTATCTACCAAATTGAGAATAGCACCAAAACATCAGTAGCAGCATAAACATTTAGAGTACAGTTTGACTGTATGACTGTTTAGCAGAACAGTAAGGTTAGGTTCCCCCTGTGTTCTGTGATCTCCAGGCAGGTGTACAGTACCAGGCACGAAATCCCTTTTGTGAAGTAGACTTCAGATTCATACAGATATCAGTTGGTTGACCCATAACCATTATGCCATTATTGTACCAGTGGGAGCATCTTTCTAGTGAGTCGGTGTTGTTAGCATGTAGGTCCCAGTGCTGGGTAAGACCATTGATGTCTCTTCTCTCCCCAGCAGCTTCTGGCACTGTGTAAGGCAGCCAGCAAGGAGAGAGTTTTAAGGTCAGTTTGAGGTTGATCTCTCTGTGTCCCGCATCCAAAGTGAGTGGTGTCTTCAGCAATAGGGTCTTACCATCTAGTTACTGTGGGCAAACAAGAGCAGTGGCCACAGCCTGTGATATCTGGGGTGCATCAGGACCTTTCTGACCAGTAACTCTTAGGAAAGTATCCTGAGTCATAAATTTAAAAAAAAAAATCCCTTAGTTAATTCTGTAGACAGCTAGATTAAGAACTGTTTTAGAGGTTTTTCTTGGCTCTCTTGTAATGTATCAGTGACTTTAAGTTCAGGCTATATACTGAACACCCAGTTAAGATCTGTTGAATATAAGGTTCTCGTACGTTTGGACTGTGTTGAGCAGCAACCACAGCCTCTTTCCTAGGGCGTGAGGAGTCGGCTGGCTGTCTCAGCACTCACTGTGTGCACTTCACTCCTGCCTTTGATCTCTCAGCTGAACCCCATCTAGAGACTCTGGTTTACTCCTCCAGAGAAAAAAATGTCTATCCATTTTCACTTACTGGCCTGGGGTTGGGGAGGGAACCCTGGGGTATAGCTGCTTCCTGACCAACCTTGCCTTCATTAGCTCTCAGCATCTCTCATTGGGAGCAAAAACATTAGCATATCAAGGAAAATTGGGAGTGAACCAATATGATTTCTGCCTTAAATTCTGATACCCTTTCCATAGGTAATTCTGTTCGTTAACTTTACATTTCAGATATCTTCTGATAAGCCAGATCTATTTCTAAAATTGCAAAATCTCAAATGTCCGTAGAATTTCAGTACAAACAAGTTCTTCCCCTTGAGTGAGTTGCTAGCAGGCTGCCTCATCCCCATCCCTTTCCCCTGGCCTCGGATGAGATCTCTTGCATAATCATGGTACAGGCATCAAAGTGGAGTATGAGCCTTGATGTGTGACCACCATTTAATTCCCAAATGCATTCATGTGGAAAAAGCAAAATGATAAAGTTAATTGCCATGTTGCCCTCAGTCAGAGTAGTTGGTACCTTAGGGTTAACCTGACCTTTGACCTTACAAGTTTGGACTAGCTATTCAGCTGGGTCTTACATAGTTGGCAAGAATGTTGTATGTAAATACTGTGTTCTCAGGCCATCCTTTTACCTGCTCCATTTTCCCAGTGTAAGGTATTCTTATAACCTTTGGGTAGTAAGTATTTTGAGGGGAAGTACTTTGAAATTGTGTAAATATTCTGTTCCTTGTTCAGTTGGATTTTAGTTTATGACAAAATTTTAGCTGTTTCTGTGTGCTTTTATTTTATTCAATGTGTCATAATCCATTATTTCCATTATTTGTTTGTGTGTCTCAAATTGACTCATGTCTGTCACATGCAAGCCTCCTTCTTCCCCTGTGTCGGACCTGGAAACCTGCATAAGGTTGGGCTCTTTAAGTGGATACTGGCCCTATTTTCTGAAGACACCAGGAATGCCACGTCCCTGTGATTGCCTTGTTTGCTCAGCCTTTCCTAATTCTGTGTGTTTTCAGTAAAGACAAACAAGAATCAGACTCTTTCCCCAGTACTTCTGGACTAACACACTGGCTTGTACAGAGTGCAGTGTTTTTAATTATGGAAGACTAATTGCTTAAAATCAAGAGCCACATCTTGAATTTGGTTTATTGCTACATGTAGCCCATTGCTTATTAAATACTCTATTATTGGTTTGATTGTATACTTAAAAAGTTAGCTTTTTGCATATCATGTTTTGGTTTTGGTTCACTATGAAGATGATATATTTTCTAGCATTTCACTGTGTCAATAGCATAGTCTTTCTAGTTTTTTACTGTAGTAATTAAGTTAACATCTTTGGGGAATGGGCATAAAATACTTTATTCTTTTTGTTGGCTTTCTTCTTTCAAGAGGGCCTTCCTGTGTAGCCTGGGTTGTCTCTGAGTTTGTGATACCCTTGCCTCAGCCTCCCACTTGTTGGGTTTGTCTTATTAATGAATCTTAATAATATTATGTCTCCAATCTGTCTTTGCCTTTCTCTCTGTCCTCATCTCCTGTTTTAATGTTCAATGTCAGTAATCACATAATTGTAAATGTGTACATTTCTCTTGTGTTGATGAAGCCTATCCATAAGAACCCCTGTCTTTTCATTCTTCAGTGCCTAGAATAATGCCTATCTAAACAGATGTTTAATTTATAGGCTAGAAGCATTTGCTTGTAGTATATAACATGTAGTACATTGTTACAGTTCTTTACAAAAAGTATTAAAATTACCAAATAATTCTCAATTCTTTTAGAAGCTGGATAAGAAATCATCTCCATCAACAGGAAGCTTAGATTCTGGAAATGAGTCAAAAGAGAAATTATTGAAAGGAGAAAGTGCACTGCAGCGTGTCCAGTGTATCCCTGGCAACAGCAGCTGCTGTGACTGTGGTCTGGCAGACCCACGGTGGGCCAGCATCAACTTGGGCATTACCTTGTGTATTGAGTGTTCTGGGATTCATCGGTAGGTATGCTCACCCGGATCTGGAGAGTTCCTTTGGGCTAAATACATGGTGTAAATTACTGTGTTTTCTTGTTAGTGGATCTTTCCCAGTTCCCTGGTTTAATTAACAGTTTATATTTGCACATTTTATAGAGTGGATGATTTTAATTTGTAAAGAGTGAGTGTGTGTGTGTGTGTGTGTGTGTGTGTGTGTGTGTGTGTGGTCGTAGATATGCAATTAGTGACTTGATAACTTTTATAAAAATAGTGTGATCTTTTTCCTTATGCAGGAGTCTTGGGGTTCACTTTTCGAAAGTACGATCTTTAACCTTAGACACTTGGGAGCCTGAGCTTTTAAAGGTGAGATAAGCATTTACATGAAATATTTCACAGGGCCTGTAGATCTCCTCTATCTGAGATAAGCTAGCAAAGTGGGGAAATTGAAGACTGAAGTAGAGAAGTAGATGGACCAGGAGAAAGAAAGTCTAAAAAGTTTGACAGCATTGAACAAGGAGTTAGTAGGTATCTGGTGATAGAACTCAGGCGCAGGTTGAGTCCTTAAATTATTGCAATGAGCGCTGTGTTTGATAGATTTTACTATTTCTATAAAGTGGGAGTGAGGGTCATTTTTATAAAGAGATCTAATTTTAATGTTCTGTCCTCGAATTGGCCAGTGTTTGCTATACTTAACGCATTGATGCTTTATTGTCAAATGTCTTACCCAACCATGGGCCTAGGCACAGTCAGTAGTTGTGATATATAGATAAACGTGTGATGAATATGACTTTCATTTAGAAGTTTATTGTTATTATTTTTAACGTGTATGTGTCTGAGTCTCAGTGTGGATGTATGCACTGAGTGCAGGTGCCTGCAGAGGGCAGAAGTCTCAGGTCCTTGCAGCCAATGTGCATTCTGAGACCTGAGCTTGCATCTACTACAAGAGCAGTGCAAGCCCTTTAACCAGGAGCCATCTGTCCAGTCCTGGTTTTCAATATAGCTATGTATGGGATGGATGGAAAGATATATAAACGTATGTATGTATGTATGTATGTGTCTATCAATGGATCAATGGATGGATGAGTGGATGGATGGATAGATGATTTCTGTTAGGTACCTGTTATAGGAGTAATGATGTTCTGATAAAGAATAGCAAATGGGTAATAATCTTAATTCTTTGGCCCATTTTAACTTTAAAGTTTCTTCGTGAAATGAACAGTTACAATATATAAAGAGGAATTAGTTAATTGTACCCACTGTAAGGACTTTTAAAGTCTAGCTTAATTTTAGGGCTTTTATTTAATTTATAGCTTGCTTTTTTTTTTTGTTTTTTTTTTTGTTTCCTGCCAAATAGCTTATGTGTGAATTGGGGAATGATGTTATAAATCGTGTTTATGAAGCTAAACTGGAAAAAATGGGAATAAAGAAACCACAGCCAGGACAAAGGTACCGTTGCCTTATTGTGATACTCTCTTCCCTAATCAGAGATACAGTGTGACTTTATTCTGTCACAATTGACATAAAACATTGTGATGGAGTGTTTAGAAGTCATAATTATTACTTCTGTTTAAATATAACCATGTCTGTCTTTCGTATATTCATTAGACCTCTACATCTTATTGTAGATGTACTCATTAGACCTATACATCTCACTGGGTAGTCATCATTTGTAGTCTTTAGATGACAAGGAATTGTAAAAAAAACCAAACCAAAACAAAACAAAACTCTACATAGAAATGTAAAGGTCTTTTGCCATAAAAGTAGTTCTAAGTTCTCTTAGTGGTGGGCATTTAAAAGGAAGTGTGGCTAAGTCTCAAGCATTCCTTTGGTTTCTTAGCATTTGTGTTCAGAGTGGGGCATGGCAGTGCTTGCTTGGAATCTTGGTACTGTGGAGTCAGAGACAGGGTTGGGGGCCCCTTGGGCTTGCTGGCCAGCTAATCTCAATGGACCAGTAAATTCCAGGTTCAGTAAAGACTGTCTCAGAAAAGAAGGTAGAGAGTGACTGAAGAAGATACCTCTGGGCTCCGCGTTCCTGTCTGTGCACACCAGCACACACGCGTGCATACACAAACACGTACAGCTAGTGCGTACACACACACACACACACACACACACACACACACACACACGTAATCTGTTTGTTAATGTCTCAAAGATCAAGTTTCTACTATCTGAATCATTTTGCATGATCAGCAAATGTTGACCACACACTTGGGTGGCATTGTGAGGCCGTGGAATCAAGATGAGAAAGGCAGTTTGGTTGTGAAATCAAACTTGTACAGACTGCACAGCAGTCTGCTCAAGGGAGCTTCTTGAATCAGGGCTTTTGGAGCATATCGTCTTTATTGTTGACACCAGGTTTTTATTAGTAGCATTCTTTATTTTTAGCATTACAATTGCATTTTCCATAATCCTATGTTGAGATTTGAACTAAGCCAATGTAATTTAAATCACTTTCAGTATTTGCCATATGAAAGTTAATTGGATCTTGGCGTACCTATTTTAGTCAGAGACCTAAGCCTTTTTAAATTAAATAAGAAAAATTATAGAACAGGCATATTTCATGGTTATATCATAAGCTAAGGAGAGAAATGACATTTTCCCTCTATAAATCTGGAGTGCTGTATTGTTTTATTATAGTTATTATTTGAAAATCACCAGCAGTGATTATTCAGGATATGACAGTATCTCTAGTGAAAATGAATTAATGTTAATTTTTTTATATTTTTTTTTATCTTTCCTGGTAATGTTTCTAATGTAAAACACAAGGGAGTGTGTATACAAATACATACACACAGAAATTAAGAGACCCTTGGAGTGCTGTGTAACTATGAGTTTTCAGTGGGTCATTTGTATTTCATTTGACTGTGAAATTAGCTTCTTATTTACAAGGAAAACATATTGTATAATGTTAACTGTTACAGATTCACTTAAAAACATTTTAGGAGAGGGTGTCAGATTCCAAGGAACTGTAGTTCTAGGTGGTTTGTGAGTGAGAGCCAAACTCAGGTTCTCAGCAGCAGCAGCAGCAGCAGCAAGCGCTCTTAACTGCCCAGCCTTTTGTCTAGCGTGCCCGCTCCTGACCTTTTACTTTCAGTTACTGTTAAGTTCAGTATCTATTGGCATTCATTCAGGGTTAGCCATGCTACGGGGCTAAATAGAACATCATGGCATTTCTCTGTTTGCCAGACAGGAGAAAGAGGCATATATCAGAGCAAAATATGTGGAGAGGAAATTTGTGGATAAATACTCCGTGTTATCATCTCCTTCTGAGCAGGAGAAAAGGGTTAGCTCCAAAAGCTGCGAGGAACGGAGGCTGAGCCAAGTCAGAGTGTCTGTCCACACCGCAGGTATTTATTTTCCTTGGATATTTTCTTGGCTGAAGCCACTTTTTAAATCTCACAATTATGGCCATTGTAGGGTTTGGGTTTGGGTTTGTTTGTTTGTTTGTTTTAAATGCTATAAGCCTGTTTCCTTCTACATGTTCTAAAGGAAAACTGGATTTCTTTGTCTTTAAGACAGTTAAAGTGAGATAGTCCCATGGTTCACATTCCTAGGTACGGTCTATACTTTACAAAAATACAACTGCTTAATAGCTAGGGGAGATGGGATTGTTAGTCCTATATGCTGCAATCTCCAAGTATCTGATTAACTACCTGATTTCCTTCCTATGTTCTCCCTACACTTCCCCAGTAACGGTTTTTCCTGCCCCCACTTCTTACGGCCTGCTTTGTGCTTTGCTAACTTGCATGTCCCCAGTGGCTGCTGTAAATAGCGACGAGGCCAGGCGGGAGTCTCTGTTCTGCCCTGATGAGCTAGACTCACTCTTCTCCTACTTTGATACTTCTTCAAAACTGCGTAGTAGTAAGTACTATTGTGGAGCGCTCCAAGTCTGTGACAGTGGTCATTGTGCGGTGTGGCCATTTCTCTAGATGTTGCCCATTGTCTCCGGATTACACATTACCACAGCCACACAGTCAGTAAATTAAGCTCTTCACTACTCCCAGCATTTGTTGGGTCATGAGATGTGTTAGAACTGTGAAACCAACTTGATTTTCAGGCTTTGTGATTGATTTATGTTCCAATAAGCTAAGTTACAGAAGGATTAAAATTGTAATAAGTTTATTATGCTGATGGTGGCCAAGTTCATGTTTCCATGTACCAGCTCATTTTATGGTCTTGTTGGTTGTGGGAGACTGCCTTCTAAGTGATGTGAACTTTAATCACTAGCCATTCCCCCTCCCCCCCCTTAACACAGTTAAAAGTAATGACAGTGGGATCCAGCAAGGCTCTGATGATGGGCGAGAATCTTTACCTTCCACCGTGTCAGCCAATAGCTTATATGAGCCTGGTAAGTTTGACGAAAGTCAGTGTTGATCAGTATAGTTTGTTGGATGATGCTTGTGGAAAATGTCAGTTACCTTGTGGGTTTGCATGTATGCTCACAAGAGGGCCAGAGGTTGATGTCTGATGCCTTCCCTGGTTACTCTCCACTTTCCTGTTGGGGATGGGAGGAAGGATAATTGATGCATTAGAATGATATGCACGCACACCTGTTGTGTGCCCATGTCTTTGCCTCTGTAACAGGTCTCTCCTGTCCCATTATAATCTCAGTCACTGAACACCATTCTGCTTCCTGTCATGATAGCAGAAAGTGGCATTTTTCTAGTTTAGAGAAATGGATCATGCAGTATGCAATTTTTTTGTTTTGTTTTTGTTCAGCATATTTATTCCAAAAATAATTATGCCATTATTCTTATCAGTTGCTTATTTCTTTTGTATTTTTATTGTGTTTTCCATAACTTTTACTAGACTACTTAAATTTACTTACTGAGGATTTTTTGAGGTATTAATGACATTAGGAGCAGCATAAGAATGAAGCTCAGGGCTGGAGAGATGGCTCAGAGGTTAAGAGCATTGACAGCTCTACAAGAGGTACTGAGTCCATTTCCCAGCAACTATATGGTGACTCACAACCATCTATATTGAGATCTGGTGCCCTCTTCTGGCCTGCAGGAATACATGCAGGCAGAACAATATATAAATAATAAATAAAATAAATATTAAAAAAAAAAAGCAAAACTCAATGGAAGTAGTTAAATGTGTACTACATTTTCTGAAGCATTACTGATTATAAGAGACAATGTATCTGCAATTAAATTTCACAGCAGGGATTATACATTTCTCAAAGCCATAAAAACGTACCAGTAAGTTGGTGCAGCTGGCAAAGGCATCACTGCCAGTCCTTTCAACCTGAGTGCAGGCCAGATTATCTGATGACCTCCACACTCATGCCAATACACACCAAATGAAAATATTTAATATAATAAAATTTCTCATAAATGTTCAGTTTCTAATATGATCAATTGTGACTTTAGAGTTTAAATAGAATATAGATAACATTTACCTTGATTTTATTACAGAGCAACTTTCTACTGAGAGTTTTTCCCCCTTGTTCCAGACCACTCTTGGGTTTCCTGGCTTCTGTCTTTTCTCTCTTATGTAGATAACCCATATGAACAATTAGGAACTAAGATCTCCCTGTAGCAGAGAGCATGGGGTATTTGCCCTTCCAGGTCTGGGCTATCTTACTTATTTTCTAATCCCATCTTTTGTTTTGGGGACAGGGTCCCTTTGAATCTGGAATTGAGTGACTTGGCAGGAAGCTCAAGTGGTCTGTCTGCCTTTGCCCCCCAAGCACTGGTGTTACAGGCACCAGTCTCTGTACTGGCTTTTACCTTGGCTCTGGGAACCTGGACTCAGGCCCTTTTGCTTTTTTGGTAAACACCACACCCAGTGGCTATCTCTCTACTGTTCTAAGTGTGAACTCTTGATTAAATCATTTCTCAAGTGGGTGGTTAATCTTTTTAGAAGGTACTAAAGGGAAAGCAATATTGTTTTAGGAGAAAACTGTTGTTTATTTTTGGAAGCTTTCCTCTAGTTAGTCATTCAAACCTCATGGTGTATGCCAGGAATTTTAATCTGCACTAATCCTGTCACCTAGTCACTGGCTGTTTTTACCAGCATCTCCCTCCCCTTTGGGTTTTTCTTCCTTCACTAATTCCTTCATGCTTCCTTCCATGATTTCAGTGTGCTCAGTCTTACAGAATTCTCTGGTGGAATAAGCATACTTTAAGGCATTTGAATTAGTTACAGTATAAATTGTGATATTACATTGTTCTAGGAACTGAGTTTGAACTACTAGAAAATTCTTTAGGAGTTCAGGCTTTTTGGAAGATAGCTAATTTTAACATTAACTAACATATCCCCTGGATACTGGTAAGGCCACAAAAGCCTAGAGTACCAGCTGGTGTCTTTCCATGAGAAGGGTGAATGTTTGGGGAATGAATAGTCTGTAAGAAATAATAATACCTGTGTGAAAAATCTCTCATCTGCTCATTGGGATAGATGTATGATTTCTTATGCCACAATGTTTACATTATGAGTTTAAGAGATCACTTTCGAAATTGAGGTAAATTATACATACTATAATGATATCCTAGCCACTTGTCTGCCCTGACGTTATCTATCCTAACCATTTTTTAAATTTATAGCTTATTAGCCTTCACTTTGCTGTCACTGTCATTCACCCAATGTAACTCTTTGTTCTTGCAAGTTCTTTCTGTTCTTGCTAAGCAATTTGCTTCCTGTGCTAAGGACACATTCTTATTAATGTATTTGTGCTTTGCTTTCCAGAAGGAGAAAGGCATGAGTCTTCTGTGTTTCTTGACTCTAAACATCTTAATCCAGGACTTCAGCTTTACAGGGCTTCGTATGAAAAAAACCTTCCCAAGATGGCTGAGGCTTTGGCTCATGGTGCAGATGTGAACTGGGCTAATTCAGATGAGAACCAAGCAACAGCACTCATCCAGGCTGTGTTAGGGGTACGAATTAATGCAATCCAGCTGTATCAGTGGTGTAAATTAATGCATTCAGGCTGTACTAGGGGTGCGAATTAATACTTTCAGGCTGTACTATGGGTGTGAGTTAATGCATTCCAGCTGTATCAGGGGGTGTAAATTAATGCAATCAGGTTGTACTAGGGGTGTGAATTAATGCATTCAGTATGTACTATGGGTGTGAGTTAATACATTCAGGCTGTATCAGGGGTATGAATTAATGCATTCAGGCTGTATTAGGGGGAGGAATTAATGCATTCAAACTTTACCAGGGCTGTGAATTAATGCATTCAGGATGTATTGGGTGTGAATTAATGCATCCAGATTGTATCAGGGGTGTGAATTAATGGATTTAGGCTGTATCAGGGGTGTGAAATATTGCATTTGAGGTTTTCATTGATCTGGCAAAATAGCAATTATAAATCTAAACAGCAATATTATTGTTGCTACCCTACAAGGGGTTAGAAAGTAAAGAATTCACTCACTAGTGATTTCTGAGTGTCATGTAGTGGTTTCAGATTTTTAAGAGGTTCAGCGGGAGTAATGTGTTTTGTTGCACTTCAGACTGTAAAATTCTGTGTTAATTAGTTCTTGGAAAAAACATATAACTTATTTCTCTGCTACTTACAGATGTGTTCTTTTTCATTTGCATTTATACATTGTCATCTTCTTATCTTTAAGGGCTCTCTGGTGACATGCGAGTTCCTCCTACAGAACGGTGCTAATGTGAACCAAAGAGATGTCCAAGGGCGGGGACCACTGCACCACGCCACTGTCTTAGGACACACAGGGTAAGTAACTGTGCTTCAATATCTAGGTAGCTTTTATCTGAAAAACTGCTTTGAAATAGTGTTGTTCTCCCCCCCCCCCTTCAGGTTAGGGATATTAGTAGAATTTGAAAAAGAGGACAAAAGTTAAGTTTCTCATTCAGAAGAGAAGCCATGGTCAGTGTTGTAGCTTGCTTTCTATTGTTGGGATAAACATTGAGGAAAGGGTTTATGTGGCTTATACTTTGTGTCGCAGTTCATTACTGAGTGAAATCAGGGAAGGAACTTGAATCTGGAGGCAGGAAGACCACAGAGAAATGCTGCTTATTGGCTTGTTCAGCTTGCATTTTTATTTTATTTTAATTTATTTATTTATTAAATTATGAAACTGTTGGCTGGTTCTTATTGACTAGTGCTGTATAATTGTTAACCCATAATTACTAATATATGCATTTCTACATGCATATATTATCTTACCGAGAATGCCAGACTCATCTGTCTTCTCTTCCTGAGATCACATTGTAACTCTTAATTTTTTTTTTTTCCCCTCCTTAGTTTTTCAAGATAGTGTTTCTCTGTGGCTTTGGAGCCTATCCTAGAACTAGCTCTTGTAGACCAGGCTGGTCTCGAACTCACAGAGATCCGTCTGCCTCTGCCTCCTGAGTATTAGGATTAAAGGCATGCACCACCACTGCCTGGCTGATTTTTATTTTTAAAATTATGTGTGTGAGTATATTCATGAGTGCAGTGTCTGAGGAGGTCAAAGGTGTCAGGTCCCCTTGGAGCTAGGGTTACAAGTGGATTAAGCTGCCCAATGTGGGTGCAGGGAATCGAACTAAAGTCCTATGGAAACACAGTGTGTGTTCATAATTGACAAGCTATATCTTTAGCCCTCCGCTTGCTTTCTTATGTAGTCTCGGCCTACCTGCCTAGGATAGCATTATCCACAGTGGCCTGGGTCCTTCCACATCAATAAACAATCAAGGCAGGTCCCCACAGACTTGCTCACAGGACAGTCTGAAGGGGGCAATTTTTCAATCAAGGTTCTCTCTTTCCAGGAGACTCTAGTATGTGTTGTTGACAATAAAAACTAACCAGTATAACTAGTGTACAGCTCTAAACTAACCAGTATAGCTAGTGTACCTATATAAACTGACTAGCATAGCTAGTGTACAGATATAAACTGACCAGTTTACCTGGTGTACAGATGCAAAGGAACCAGCATAACTTGTGTATAGACACAAACTAACCAGTGTAATTAGTGTACAGATATAAACCAACCAGTATAATTAGTGTATAAACTAACCAGTATAATTAGTGTACAGATACAAACTAACTAGTATAACTAGTGTATAGATATAAAGTAACAGCATAGCTAATTGCAGATATAAAGTAACCATTATGACTAGTGTATAGGTATAAACTAACCAGTATAACTAGTTAACAGATACAAACTATAATGCTCACTTTAATCTTGGTATGTCAATAAATTGACCAGTTTACTACCTGACTTCCTCTGTTACTGAACTTGTGGTATTTTGTTTGTTTCCCAGCTAAAGTTCATGTTGTTTATACTAGTGTATACATTCATTATCTGCATACACTATTTTGGGAATTTCTAGGTTTTCCTCAAGGTACTCTTAGTCCAGGCATAACTAAGTTCTTAGTTTGGGAACTGATGTTGGGGCTGTAAGTAATGTACTTGGCACAGTAATGCCATGAGAATGGACTTCCTGTTATAGAGTACTAATAAATAAGCAAGAAGCTGATCTTAAACATATTTTAATAGCATCTTTTATTTCATTATCACTTGTTTTCCCTTAGCAGATACTCTGTTTAGTAATTTAATCATGAAAACTTTTCTGTATTAAAACGTGGTAGTATTTGCTTCATCTTTTATATTTGCCTAAATGGTAATAGTTTTTCTCATTTTTCCCCACAGACTCCACTTACTCATTTTTTCATATATTTTTAAAAATGTGAATATCTTCAAGTTAAGGATATTTGTGTAGTATAATGGGAGAATTACTGCCTACTTTCTTCTATGTATCATGATTAGTATGGTGTTTACATTGTCTTAGCTTCCTCCTTCTATAGTCTTGCATGGTATTGTTTTCTGCTGTCAGTATCTGTATATAACTTTTAATGATATTTGTTGAGGATTGAGACTATGATTATGTATCTCACTTTGTTACAGAACACCAGATTATCTAAGATAATGAAAATTATTTGGGACTTATAAAGATCTCAGCCAGCTTCTATTATTGAAGTCTGTAATGAGATAGTCCTTCTGGGGCACTGACCACGCCCATTGGGGGTGGAGCCATGGGCGGAAGTGACCTGGGGAAGGAGGTCGGAGAGAGCCGGGAAAAGCTCTCTCTTGCTGGCATGACTCGGACAGGAGAGCATAGGGTTGAATTTCCTGGTGTTCATCTGTCTAGGTTGTAAGTTATTTCTCCCTGAATAAACATCTATTTGGCCTATTTGTTTATCCTGATCCTTATTTAACCGCGATAGAAGTCTATTCATTGAATTTGTAGGGTGCATTAAGAATGTTCTAATAAAACGTTATTTATGTTAGGCAGAACCTTTTATTTTTGAAAGCGAATAGGATGTTTTTCATCTTGACACTGTCTGAGAAATGCTGTTCCCTTAAACAGGCAGGTATGTTTATTCCTAAAGCGAGGTGCCAATCAGCATGCCACTGATGAAGAAGGGAAGGACCCTTTGAGTATAGCTGTGGAAGCAGCCAATGCTGACATCGTAACCTTGTAAGTGTCTCCTTTGTACTTATTTCCCATGCTGCACATGCTGTTTGTACAATTAGTTCTGGCTGCCCTGGAGCTCTCTATGTTGACCAGGCTGGCCTTGAACTCACAAAGATCTCACTCCTTTGCCTCTCAAGTGCTGGGATTAAAGGTGCGCGCCATCTTGCCCAGCTCTGTGGGAGATTTAAATTCAGTGTTTTGTCTGTACCATTCCTTTAGGGACACTGGATGTGGTAAGCACTTTAAAATGCACAGGTTCGTTTGTTCCTCACAATAACTCTACGAGGACACTATTCCCATTTTCTAGGTAAGGAAGCTAAGCCTCAGATAATGTTAGAATAAATGTTAGAGCTAGGACTTCACACTAAGAATTTCTCCTCTAATTCCTGGACTCTTGGCCATTTTTGCTGTCCTGCTGCAGCAGTAGAAACAGAGGACGTGGCTACCGCAAACGCTCTTCTGCTTTGGTACAATTCAAACCTTGGGCTGGGATGGTGGACCAATGGGTAGTTTTCGTCTATCACTTTGAGGATTAGAGGCTTATCATTAAGTGGGAGGGATAGCAATCTTTCAAACAAATGTTCATATGAGCACTTGATTATTTTTAACACAAAACATGTTTTTGATGTTTGCTATGATCTATTAATGAATCTTATGGTTTTCAGTTGGTTTGCATGTTAGATCAAAGTAGTGTGCTATACTTAGAACCTAGAAATATGTCAACTCCATTTCATGAAGCTCATAGAAGCAGGTTTTAAGTCCCAGGCTAATGGAAGGAGAGTTGATTGTCCCTCTCCTCTTGAGCAGAAACCTGCCTGTTGATGATGCTCTCAGTTCAGAGAAACCCAGTGGCTGCTCTGAGCCCCTGAGCTCCAGTGACAATTTTTGGCTTGCCATGTTCCAACTCTCCCAGCCTCTACCTAATAAGACACAGGCCATGGAGGAGTTACTGTTACTGTGAAGTACCTCAAGTAGCAGTCAAGAAAATGTCCTACAAACATGCCCACAGGCCAGTCTGATCCAGATAATCCCCAGATGACTCAGTATCAATTTGACAACTGAAGCCAAGTAGGAAAGTGCCCTTTCAGAGAATCCACACAGCGAGGGGATGCTTAGGAGCCAGCCTTAACTCACAGGGTGAGTGGGGAGTGGGAGGGAATGTCAGTGTCAGATGCTGCCACTGCCTGATGGCGCCCTCAGAAGAGGACGAGAGCTCCTGGAAGCCTGCAGGCGCTGTGGTGGCCTAGAAGGACAAGCAGGCACCACAGAGCGTACTTTCAGTCTTGCTTGGGTTTTGTTTTCAGAAAAAGAAGAAATACTTGTTTTCTTAATCCAGTTTTACCTGTCTTCCATTGCCAGGATAAGTAACCCCCAAAGACTATATGGCCAGTATGGTAACCTTGGGGGAATTTTGGTAACCCTTAGTCATTTACTGCTTATGTGTTGCTTATGTATTGGCACCTATGTCACTCAGGGTAAGCTAATGAACTATGATAGAATATTGCTTCCATACCGCAGAAGCAGTGATTTCATCCAGCTGCTATAGGAGCTAGGCATTTTCTGAAGCTGGAGGAAGCTGTTGGAGGTACACCTGCTTTAATAAGAAATCTTTTACTTTCTTTGCTATGAGGGTGACGTGAATGAAGGTGAGATAGTTATTTCTGTAATGCAGATTGTCTGATAAACTGAGTTTGTTTTACTGGACATATGCTGGTAAGGGAATAATTCTGTAATTGTACCAGCACACACATTACCTGCCTATGTAACCCATTTGTTTATGAGTACTTGTCTTACTTCCTCTAAGAACTCTTCTTCTTGAATTTTAGGTTACGTTTAGCAAGAATGAATGAAGAAATGCGGGAATCGGAAGGACTTTATGGACAGCCAGGTCAATATTCTACTAATAATCATACTGAAATGCAGTATAAAAAATGCATTCAGGAATTTATCAGTTTACAATTGGAGGATTCATAGTTCCTTAGCTAACTAATGTGATGTTATAGAGATTTTATATACTTGTAAATTGTGAGTTGTTAGCTACTGTACTGTACCTACTGAATTCTTGTGGGGCTAACCCTGGACCTTTACACACTCGGACATATTTCTATTTCAGTACACTTATGTATTCAGTCAGCTCTGGCTGCTGAGGTCCTTATCTGCTGTACAGATGTCTTCCATACGCATCCCAGCAGCGAGAGCATACTGATGAGCAGAGGGAGTGGTTGCAAAAAGAATTATTATTATTTTGTTGTTGTTGTTGTTGGTTGTTTTTTTTTTTTTTTTTTTTTTTTTTTTTTTTTTTTTTGAGACAGGGTTTTTCTGTGTAGCCCTGGCTTTCTCAAACTCAGACAGAGATCAGCCTGTCTCTGCCTCCCGAGTGTTGAGATTAAAGGTGTGTGCCACCAACTGCCCGGCTTAAAAAAGAATTCTTGTTAGCTGTCCAGTGAATATAACAAAATGGTTTTCTTTTTGTTATTCAGGGAATTTCTATACATTGTGTTCAGGGAAAAACAAAAAAACAAAAAACAAATCACTATGTGTTTTGTATATAAAAAGTTAGTGTGGAAAATACCAAGAAAAAGAAAAAGTATATTGATAGGTTTTATATCCTAATCTAAGAATGAGTTGAAGATTTAAAGTAAAAATTTACCAGTAAGTTAAAAGTCCACAGTGGGTATAGTATTTATTAGTTTCCAAAGCTGAAGTTTATCTGTAGCTCTGTCCCGGGCAATTGTACATTATTTGCTGGGGTCAATAGATGTATTTGGAACCATGTTTTGTGAACCTGATGGCGAAGTAGAGTTATTAGAAAAATCTCAGTTTATGACCACATCTGCCTCTTGAGTGATTTTCACTTGTGAGTCATGATGTGAGGAGAAGAAAGGAAAATTGATGAGATTCTTCTGTTTGATGGCCACACTGGTTACACGTCTTCAAAAAAAAAAAAAAAAAAAAAAAAAAAAAAGAATATTGCATTCCAGTTGATGAATTTGTGAATATGAATTGTGTTTTAAATTCATACACATATTACTAAACATTTCAGGAATTCATGAGTAAAGTTCACTTTGCAAATGAGCATATTTGCTTTTATAAAAATGAACATTTATGTTGTTATGATTTTTAAAGTGGCCTGATAAAATCATCTCTCATTCCTGTTGGACTATATTTTGAATTTCAGTATTATATATTAACTTCAGACATTTACTTAATTTTGACTATACAGTAATCTATATCAGTGTGAGGCCTTTTTTTTTTTTTTTTTTTTTTTTTTTCCTCCCTCAGAGGAATGTATGTACTGCTTATTTTTGGCCTGATGTACTGGGGAAGGCTAAGGGCCTGGATCAGATGCATTCTTCTGATCTGGGGGTGTCACTTTAATCCTATGGATCACACGTACTGAGTCAGGACGTCCTCAGATGTCAGTGTGCTGATTATGGGTGAGGCTCAGCGCTGACTCTGGATTTCACCGATTTCACCCCTTTGTTTCAAAGTTGGATGTTAGACCTTAAATAAGTTCTAATTTTTTAACAGATATCTTTAAGTGATAGTATTACTAGGCCATTTCTGAGGCCTTTGTGTTTAAGCACTTTAAATAAAAATTGATCAAAGAAAATGAGCTGACATTTGTGAGACAGCAGTGAGCCATGAGATTGTAAGTTAGGGTACAATTGTGTTTTCCTGAAATTTCGAAGGTAAATGTTGAGCCTGTCTGCCCGGCTGTTAAGTCAGATGTCAGAGGTCAGCAGTCATCAGTTAGCAGTCATCGGTCAGTGTTGCATCTGCTCTGTAGTTGGGAATTGCAAGGGCAGGACTTGTCTTTGCTCTTCTTCTAGTTCTGCCCAAATTGCTTGAGTTTCTTCTCTGTGACTAGGAGTGCTCAGACACCTCTGTTACTGTTGTCTATGTGCAGGCTTATGTGTAAATACGGGAACTTCTGGGTGTCAATAGGAAAAAAAGAGTTCTTCTTAGTTTTAAGGAAACTGAGGCCTGAAAACAGTCCTCACTTTAAAACTTAAAAAAAAAAAAAAATCTGAAAATTTTAATTTAGAAGTTAAAAATTAGAATTCTGCCAACCATGCTGGGTTAAAAATAAGATTAAAAGACTGCTTGAGAAACATCTTGCAAATAATTCAGTTTTAAACTCAGTGTTGGTTGGGGTCCAGGGCTTGAAGGTAAATAGTTGGTGAGGTGTGGTGAGGTGTGGCACACCAAGTGCTCCCTGTTGCTCCTCTTGTCCCCTCTGAGTCCTCGGAGCAGATATGCTGGTCCCATGGCGGCTTGTCATTTTCCCCTCTGCACCACACTACACTTTCCCTGCAGACTTGGCCCGGCCTCTTCATTGGCATCCTAGGAATAGGAAGGCAGCAGCAGAACTCTGAGCAGTTGGTACGTAGGTACGTAGGTACATAGGTAGGTAGATACGTAGGTCAGTCTTGCTAGTCTTGGGTCTACGATTTAAAGGACCCAGTTTAAACACTTGGCAATCATGGATTTATGTCTAGGAAACCTCATTTCTAAACTTGTGTCTACAGTCCTACGGACTACATTTTTTCTGGCAAGGCAGTATTAATTTAAGAGCATTCGGATTCTGAAAGGAAGTGGATTCTCTTTTAGCAGCATTTTAGAACTCTTAGGAGATCTGGGTGGGAAATGGATTATGTGCCTCCCGCTCGGCTTCTGGCTCTGGGTCTCCTAAGGGCTGGCAAGATCGCAGCCAGCCAGGAATCACTGCATTAGGGACCCACTTCTGGTCATGTGAGCATATGGCTTGTGGGACCTATCCAGTAATTTGTAGAAAGAAAATGTTCCCACCTGGAAGGGGCGGGATGATGCCTGTGGTCCCAAGAGGGTGGGTCCCACCACATCCTTTGAGAGCATTCATTTCACTGGTGAGGCCACTGAATGCTTTCTGTCACACTAACTGCTGTTGTGATGAATATTCTGGATACCAAAAACTCAAGTGAATTTTAAGCTGTCAGTGGAAACACAACAGTGTATATTTTAAAAATTCAGGATTGTTCAGGCACATAAAAAACTCGAACTTTCAGAATGGGAAAAATACGATTAAGTAATTTAAAGACAATGCTTAGCTGTTTTTTTTGTAGTAAGCTGTTCAGTGTATTAATATGAAGACTCCAGGACAATGTGTCCTGGCATCTTATTTATGTGTTCTAGTTCAGACAAATTAGATTTGCCTTGGGAAAATTTTCAAGTGATTAAAATTATCCTTAAAGTTTAGATAATGATGTTCACTTTGTGTCAACTATTTTAAGTAATTGTTGCTTTTGATAGCACATTATGAGGTCTAAGGAAGGTAGCATTTTAATAGTGTGTTATTAATTAAATAACTGAACTTAACGAGTTTTGTGTGTGAGGCTAGAAACTTTCTTTTGTATTGTATGGACTCATAAATGTTTGCAGTCAGTGAAACCAATGATTAATACAGCACCAACACTCTCCTTCAAGGACACGTTTAATTCAGTGAATGGAAGGTCTTCTAATTAGTTTTGCATGGTACAATGGTCTTACTAAAAATGTACTTGTGTAATATGTACGAGGTGATTTAAAATCAAACACTAGAAAACCATAAAGAAAAGCAGCTCGTTATGCGGAATATGCATTGCTGAATGTAGAAGCCATATATTGCCATTGTACTGCTGTAATACTTGAGAACATCCATCTGGTGCTATCTGTGAATGACTTGGCGTTAGCGTCTGCTAGACCCTTGTTTCTTCCTGAATATATAATGTGTGCCTTTTACGTTACTTCTGGTGTTGAATGGTAAAATCTATGTGGTATTTTTGTATTATAATCTGCACTTTACACTTTCTTGGAAAGTAAAATTCTAGACTATCTGAATAGTATTTTAAAAATATTTATAATGTTTACAATAAATATTTTACATATTTTAATTCAACATCTAAAAACAGAAAAATTAAAATATTTTGTATGGTTTGTTAATTGTTATTTAATGTGCGCTCCTCTCAGTTTACTTTATGTCCTATAGGATGGCCAAGCACAGGTGTAGGTTGTAGTTTGTCTTGCTCTCATTGATGGTCTGCCCAGTTCCAGTGGACTAGCCTTTAGTTTGCTCCACTTGGAATGGTGGCAGTCAGCTCTAACCTCTAGCTAGCCTGTTAAGAGATCCTCTTACTCTATTTACCCCTTTTAAAAGCCCATTGATTAGGGTTAACTGATTATTTAATGTCATGATCAAATTTACCAGCTTTTAATAAATTGCTTTTTACAGACTGAATATTAAAAGTGCTAAATACTAGGAGTACTGAAATCTTTTTACTAAAATTTTTATGTTATGATTTTAGGTATTTTTACTAGATTTTTATCTGACCCCCTCAGTATTTTTTTAATTCTCTCCTTTTGGTATGACATCTGTGTCCTCTACAGTTTTGCTTTGTAAGACTTGCAGAATTTACTATACTGTCAACAATAACTATAAGAATGAGATTGTTGTAAGATGGGATGCAAGGTATCTTAGAAGAAATAATGATAAAACAGCGTGGTGACAATATGACAAAATTTTATGCTCAAGTGAGAATAGAATTGTGCCAGGAGTCTGTGGCCAATGTAATGTTTGGCAGGAGGCATCATGAGGAGTAAGTCATCCTCAAAATAAGATTTCTCCTTTTGAGGAATTAATTTGTACATGTGTATATAGTTCCTCAGTTTTAAAGAAAAAAGAAAAAAAAATGTGCTCATTGTGGCTTAATGTCCTTATCTATAATCTACATCTCTTTAAGAGTGCTGAGTGTACAATTTTTTTTTTTTTTTCTCCAATTGTGAATAGATTCTTGGTACCCTTTCCCATTTTGCGTAGCATTCTTTCTCCTAAGTCTTCTGACTGTGGAACTCTGGTTTTGTAGTCACTTTCTGGCCCTTTGATTTAATGAGTTTAGTGATCAGTGGGTCAGATACATCGGTTCTGAACCTTAAAGTGTTTGTGGGCTCCTTTTTAGAAACAGCTAATCAGTGTAAGGCACTGCCGGTTGAAGATGGCGTGCGGAGCTCTTCTGGGCTGTTGATCAGCTTGTCTCCTTGGTAGCTGCATTCCTCAGAACTTTAACTAGCATTTGGCTTTAGTCATTTCTTATAACTTGTATCCAACAAAGTATTTTCTTATAAAATGTGCTGTATATGTCATCTCGAGTTACCCTCTTCTTTTGTGTGCTAATGAATGTTTCTTCACATTGCTTTCAAACGCTTGCCTCTTGCTCCTCTCTAACTCTGAGCCCCCTGCTGCACATCTGAGCTGCCTCTCTCAGGTATTGCTTCCCTTTCTTATGTACTTTTCTGGCGTTATGTTTAGTTGGCCTTTTCCCTTCCAAAAACGCTCTTGGGGAAATTAATGTAATGAATCCTAAAATAGTATGAATAAAATTGAATGTTGTTTTATTAATACCTTAGCTGTATGAATTTTAAAAGTATCTTTATTCTACTTTCATGCAGGTGATGAAACTTACCAGGACATTTTCCGTGATTTTTCTCAAATGGCATCCAATAATCCAGAGAAACTCAATCGTTTCCAGCAAGATTCACAGAAGTTCTGAGCCTTTTAAAGAGGGGAGCCTATGAAATCTGGTGGATTCCTAATGTGTACAACCAAAATCTCACACCTTTTTAAATTCCACTTGATTTTGGTAGACATTGAATCAATTGTTTGCAAAAAATGGTACCCATTCATTGGTATTTTTGTAAATGAAAACAGATGTCTCATAGTTGGGAAAGGGAGAAATCCACTATAGTTCCTCTTTTATTTAAGAAGAAAAAAGCCTGTTTAATAGGTTTTGCTTTTATATAATGTTGTATCCAGATCTAAGTCATCTCTTAAGTTCAGAGATTCTACACTATTATGTCCTTGCAGCCAGTGGTAACACTGGTTCTCCCTGGGGACATTCAGCCACTATGTCTGCATCAAGTGGGAGCCAGTTCTCTTACCTGTATCAAGGATGCATCTTTTCTAGAGCTTCCCTGATAATTGTTGGTGTGTTTTCTGATAGCTTAGGAATGGTACCCATGGTAGATGATGTAATTGCTAGGACTAGTGAGGATGCCCCTCATCTGCTCAGAGATGCCATTGCACTTTTAAGAACTTTAGCAAACACGGTTGCTGTACAGTAGTCTTACTTTATTTTATGGTGCAAAGAAGATCTTATTTTTTTCTTCTTTCAATCACCACAAGACTCCCAACTCAGTTTTTAGTATTGGGTTGGTTTCCTAAAACCTTGACAGATCATCAGTGCAATAAAACTATATTTCAGAAGTTGACTATTGCAAAATTGGGCTTTCATCAAAACTTGGTGATTTAAAATATAATGTAGGACATTTTTATATTTGGAATTTATCCACACACACACACACACACACACACACACACACACACACACACGCATACTGTTTCTCCTGGTGAAAGAAAAATCTCCATGTAAAGGAAGAGAAAGCTAATTTTTTTTCTGTTTATACTAAAATTTACCAGCAATAAATTTCTTTTTTTCTACATTTATCTTGTTTACTATACAACAGTATATGTTCTTTTAAAATGTATCCTGTATATAGCTTTAGAATTAAGTGAAATATGTGTCATTGACTTTTGAATTCCAAAATTATGAATATGTGACACAGTTTGGTCAGATTCCACCTCTGATTGACATGTCTTGTCAAAGTATGAAATGAATAAGTAATTGCCTTGTGGCTCATTTCCAGCACTGTTGATGGTATTTAATCTTTTAGAAATTATTTGTAAGTAGCATTGATACTCAGCTTCGCAGAAACATTTTTTAAATGTATATAGAAGTACAGTTAATTAAATAAAAAGTTTTAACATTTTCTCCACAGTATGTAGAACCTTACTTTGACTAAATATAAAATCAGAATCTAAGCAGAAATCATACTCAAATAAATTCAAAACACCGATATGGTCCCATAGTTCAACCAAGTTTCAAGCATGTAATGCTTATTTAGTCAGTCACCACACACTGAAGATGGAGATCTGTTGTGGTTTGTTTCTGAGGAAGTGCAAACTTCCACAGAATGAAAAGAGCTTTGTTTTTCCTGAGTTGCTTCAAACTTGCAGATCATCTGGTCTGTAGGTATTTTGTTACAGGCAAAAGCCTAATTTTAATTGTTGTGTATTTTGAATATTGTCCTAAAACATGTTCAAGGAAGAACAGCAGGCTAAAGAAAGGGAGTGAGGGAAGAAAGCCCACCTTTTTCTGCAGAGTGTGTTCTCTGTCACTTGGGGAGTTCCTGCCTCGTCTGTGGAGGTGCGGCTCAGCTGTTCAGGGGACAGTCCTCTGGACCTGCTTGCCTCCCTGGCTCATGTTGGAAGTCCTTGGTGTGGCAGTTGGTACTATCTGCTGTTAGAGCATTTTTGAAATAAGCCTTAAAGATTCAAATGTATTTGAAATGCCTTAAAGATTATTGTGGTTCTGAGTATCTTTAGAAAAAGCTACATCTTTTCATATTGCACGGAGGCTGGCAATACGAGACTATATTTATTTCTGTGGCTTACTGAATTTCCTCAACGTGCTGAGAAAGTGACTGGCAGAAAGAAATGGGGTAGAGCAAGGCTTTCAGTTCATAGTTGTAAAGTAGGTTGGCTTAGGTGAGGTTTGCTTTGTTCACTAATAGCTCTGTGTGGCGTGTTGTGAAGGATTATGTTAGCACGTCATAGGTTCATTTTCGGAAAAAAAAATAATATACTCACATTTTAGAGAATTTGTTTGTGACCATGTTGGCAGTACTTAAAAATGAAATTTTTTGCATATTAGATATGATCATAAAACAAGTTGTTTTACTTAAATCTAAACTTGGCTACCCACATAGAATAATTGGACATTTCTAGACTACTCATTCTCAAATTAACTTTCTGTGTGGTGCATTTTGACCATTAGCATGGGCTAGAATTTTTTTTTTCCTTAATGAAATCCTATATTCATATCTTTCTCGGATCCAGGGTTCCCCACAAATAAAGTGAATTGGTGAAAAGGAAAACTCTGAACCCCCCCTTTGTGTACGTTTCATGACTTAGAACATTCTATCATGTTACTTTTTCCCACCTGATGCTTGCGGAGGACATCGGGAGCTTAACCCACGGCATCAGCCTTGTCCGAGTCTTCATCCTAGCCTCCTCCTCTTGTTTTACAGAGGTTGTCACTTGTTCTGCTAGTTGGAGGCAGAGCTGAGCCATGCCCCAGGTCTGAAATAAGCTTCAAAAGCACTTGTATCATGAAAGGATTTGAAATCAGTGTAAAGCAGCAGCTTACCCTGTGTTTGAGAAGAGACTCCGAATACTCAGGAGAACCTCATTGTGAGGTTTAAAGGACCAGATTGGAATTTGAAAGCATCAAATTGTAGAGAAGTCTACATTTTTCACAATAGCAAACATTAATAAAGGCAAAGTATTATGAAGTTAAAGTCGCCATGTATTAACTTTTTGATGATTTTGAATGACGCATAACCATAGAAAGGGCTTGGATTTAGTTTGGCTGAGCCCTAACACCTAGAAGGATTTTTGTGGGTATCTTTTTTCTGTTTACAGAGGGGGATCATGTGGACAAAGAAAGATTTAATTAAATACACATTTCTTTGCTTGGATCTTCTATTTTATTTTTTAGAGTTTTCTCATTCCCCAGCTTTATTTGGGGTATTAATTTTTAGCAGGGAAAGCTTGCTGTGCTATCAAGGTTGTCAGCACCATTTAACACGAAGGCTAAAGGTTAACCTTTGGAAATGACAAGCTTCATTTTAAATCTGTTTCTGTGTGCTTTGCGATGTTCGGGATCATTCCGGTCATAAAGATTGGTCATTTGTTCTATTTCTTGCTACCTGTGAAAAGGATTTTAAGAATGTATAACCAACACTTCATTAGTTTTTATTAGTGTGTAGATGTGTATCTAATTCATGAATGTAGTTTTTCTGTAGTTTGTCATTGTAAATGGAACAAAGTACATTATCTTTATAGTTATTCTAAATTGTATATTATGTAAGAATTGTAAATATACTTGATTACTTTGTATGCTGAAAATTTACAAGAATAAGTCAATAAAAATATCTCACTTCTGGCAGTCATTGTACATGCTCAGACTTCTTTTGAACTATGTGGTACCGGTCTAACATCTGTTATAGTTAAGATCCCATCTGTGTCTCCCTTCCTTCCAAATAGAGGCGGTCCATGCTGATCCTTTTTGATCCTTTCAATATTTTCTTCTCCCCAATTCCAGAGATGCTGTAGCCCCTGCTCCATGAACTAAAGATCACAAGAGTCACAAGAGACTCTTCCTCTGCTTCTCCCCATTATAGTTGATGTGTCTGTTGGAGTTCCTAATCTTGGGAACACACCCACACTCAGTCCTTCCAGTAAACAAAACCCTGCTCTGTGTGAATGGGACTAAGGAGACTTGAAATTCGGATCTAGAAGTGAAGCCCCGCTTTGCTTCTTTAGAAGTGAGTTCAGAGCACTGCCTTGTGAACCCGCATCTCATTTTCAGAACAGTCTCTAAAAAAGAACCCACAGTAACTGTTTTAAATGAAGGCCTGTTTCTTTCCTTATTGCAAAAACAGTACGTCTTTATTGCCAAAATACAGTTTAAGTAGCTGAAGAGGGCTGGGTATGATGGATGGTATGTGCTTGTAATCTCCACACAGGGGAGTTGGAGGGTGGGCTTGACTCCAAACAAGCAATCACTTGTAACGTCACTCGGAAAACAAGCCTCAAGAAAAAGAAAAATCATCTGTAATTCACCTTCCTGTGCTGTCCAGAACTGGCTTTTTGTTTATTTCAGTGCATGCTTATGTGTTCCTGGGTGCATGTCTGTGCAGGTGTAAGTGAGCATTTGCCTGTGTGTGTGGAGACGAGTGCATCCTTGGATGTCATTCCTCCTTAGGAATTTTACATTGTTTACTTGAGGAAAGGTCTCTCACTGCCTCCCTGGTGGCAGTACTGGGATTACAAACATGCGCCTGACTTTTTGACATGGGTCATAGTGACCAAACTCAGATACTCCGGTGCCTGTTGCCAGGCACTCTGTTGCCTGAGCTGTTTCCCCTGTCCGCTGACAATTGCCTTATGATCTTCTTTTACTTAGATGGGGAATATTTAAAAGCGTTGGTGAACATTTTCAAGTGTACCAACATCATTTCAGCAGTCATAGGCTCATGGCAGCATTACTTTATATTTCAAGTCCCAATGACATTGCTCTTTTTCTGTTTTTTCTTCTGAAGGGGATTCAAAACATTTCACCAGCAAATCATTCAGTGTGAATCTCTGAAAGGAAGGATGTTGTATAATGAAGTATTACCTCTTTAAAGTGCATAAAACAATATGGTTTTCCCAAGTCAGTCCACAAATGCTCACACATTGCAGTTGGCTAATGTGTTTCTTAAATTTATATGTTTTCTCTACATTAAAAAAAAATCCATGTGTAGTTGATGATTACATCGGTTTGTTTGTTTTTGTTTTTGAGACAGCCAGTTCTATACAGAGCTCTATCCACCTACCTCTGAATATATTACTTTTAATGACTGCATTATATTACTTACCTAAGCATTTCATTGATGATTTCTCAATACCCATCTTTTGCTATCATAAATCCAGCTTTTAGAGCTGAACAGTTTATCTTTAGGAGTCAGAACCTCAGTCACACAAGACTACAACCAACCATACAAGGTAGCCCCAAGCCTACCAGCTCGCTCTGAGCTCACAGGCGCTATGCTGCCTCAGCCTTTCATGTTGCTGAGCTGACGGTACCACACCTGGTCTCTTACAGCTAAGTATTTTAGTGTGTTATTCCCTTAGGATACATTCCTAGTATTTTTAAGGCTTATTCATCATGTTGGATGCTTTTTCAGTAGTGGGCATATTTTGATTTAAAAGGAAAAATAGTATCTGGGGCTGGAGAGATGGCTCACCAGTTAAGAGCACTGACTGCTCTTTCAGGAGGACCCAGTTTCAACTCCCAGCACCAACATGGCAGCTCATACCTGTCTATAACTCCAGTTTCAGGGGACTAGAAACTTCCCATGGCAAAAACATAAACAGTCTTACTACTCTTTCTTTGGAGTCCATTTAAGAAAGAATGATGGCCTGGCTAGGTAGTGTATAGGTGGCTGTCATAGAATCCCTAAGGGTAGTTCTAGCCCATGCACTTGATGCAGGTGTCTAGAGACTATAATCCATGGTCTGAAGTAGATATGAAATGTGCTCTACAGGAAAAGCCAGCTGCCTAATATCTGGTTAGAAATCATATTTTGGCCAAAGTTAAACTTGATTCTAGAGTTATTATTCGTATCAGGATTTTGTCTATGTGGGCACATTAGGACTATACCCAAGTGTGGCAGAGAAAAGGGCACAAAGCAGCACCTGGAAGTATTTCTTGCACTTTTGCATGCTAAAAGGCATGCTGCATAAGGGCGGGGCTTCCTTCACTGCTGTATCCCAGGTGCACTTGTGCTTGGGATTAGCAAGTATGCTAATCAGTTTAATAACTCCATGGCTACCACAAATCCACTGTTGAAGTCGTAGCTGTCAGCAGTATACTTCAGGAAGCTACAGTATTAAATTCTCCTTTGGATAAAGAACAAGGCATGGTTGGCTTCAGCTTGGGGAGGAGATATTTCAACACATTATTGTCTTTTTAGGGTTAAATTCCTGAAATGAAAATGGCTGGTTTGGTGAATTGAGGTTCGTTCAGGAGATCAGGCATCAGGCAATGGGAATTTTGGGCAGAGCATTTGAGTATTTTACTGACTTTCTTAGGTAAAATTTAAGTAGTCGCTTTATTTCTTTTGCATGAATTAAAGGACTCTTCATGTCTGAAATTAAAGTATTACTTGAAAGGATGTGGAAAAAGTGTGAGAGGGAAAGACCACTGCACTGATGGTGTGGGCGGGGACTAACAGCACAAATTGCAGGATTGTGTTATTTAGAGACACAGTATTAAGAAATTTGAGGTAGTATTTATAAGTACCCCAGAAAAGTTATGGTTACTAAATTTTTGTGCCTAGTGGATATTTACACTTATTTTGGTAAATTTAATATCTCTGGAATATCATTTGTTCAATATGAGGCACTTTAAAAAAAATCTGTTGTCTTTCATATCTGTGATGGCAGTTTTGGCTTCATTTTATATCCTTCCCGGCATGATTGTTTTCAGATAGCCAAGAACCTGCTGTGCATGTAAAAGTTTGCAGTGGTACAGCCGGCCTGGACTTCCCATCCCATGTCTCAAGCCTTCCAAGGCTTGAGAAGTACAATGACGAGCTTGATTTATGCTTTGGAATCCTCATGTTATTGTTACCTGTAAATGCCTGCATATTATGGAGTCGTGGGCTGCAGATGACAACAACCTGTGGTCATTCTGCCATCTAGGGTCACTGGGACCTGTTTCAGAGGGTGGATGCTTTTCAGAAGTGTTGCTCCAGTGGAAAAGGGCAGAGTTGGAAATGTCTGTGATGCTGGGAAAGGTAAACACCATCCAAACGGAAAGTGGATTTTTCCTGCATTTTCACCTCCACCTCTTTCAAGCATGCAGAGCACTTGCTATATTATCAAGTCTTAGAAATTTGTGGTTAATGGGTTTTTGTCCATCTGGTATTGTGTAACTGATTAGGGTTAAAATGACTACAGGCTAGTTACTTCCGTAGGCTTCAGTTAGAAATTTCAAAAACTTTCTGGGGCATTTCAGGCTTTCCGTTGTTTGTTTAAAGGCGATTAAACAATGTTGATGCTCCTCTCGCTCTCTGAAGGAACTGTGATGTTTTGGATAGTGAGATCCCTCTGCTGGCCACACATGTTTGTCTGGGTTATCCAGAGGTGCGAAGTGGGATGGTGAAGCCATTTTCATTTGGGGAGTTTTAAACTGTGTGAACTTTTCATTTGGGGAGTTGTAAACTGTGTGAAACAGAAAGGAACTTTCTGCTTTTAATGTTTTGGCTCCAACTAGTTTCTTAAAACTGGACAGGCAGCTAAAAGCTTTTAAAAATGAGAGAAAACGCGGAGAGAAAAGTTAGCGTTTTTGAATCAAGCATTTATTTACATTATTCCTGTGTCGGTGTGTTTATTTCAAAACCCAACCTAACAGTTATTTCCTCCCTAGCCCTCTGAGCCAAGAGGGTAGGGCTAGTTCCCAGACCTGTGTAGCTTTCCGACCCTGTCCAGACTCTTAGCTGTAGCCTGCTGGTCTCAAGCCTGGCAGCCAAAATACACGAAGGGGCCATCTCGAGTCTAATCCCTCGGAACCTAGGACCTAGCGGTGGCTGCGACGGCCCCGCCTTTCAGGCATCCAAGCTCACGATTGGCTTCGGGCAGCGCGGCCCCGCCCCCTCGATGGCCGCGGCCGGCTGCCGGGCTGGGGGCCCTGGATCGCTGCTGAGAGTGGGCCCGGTTGCTGGGCCGCCGGCTCCAGCGTATGGGCCTCCTCCGAGGGGGCGCCGCGTGCGCTCGGGCCATGGCGCGCCTGGGCGCGGTGCGCTCACACTACTGCGCGCTGCTGCTGGCCGCGGCGCTGGCGGTGTGCGCCTTCTACTACCTGGGTTCGGGCCGCGAGACCTTCTCCAGCGCCACCAAGAGGCTGAAGGAGGCCCGCGCTGGGGCCGCTGCGCCTACGCCGCCCGCGCTAGAGCTGGCCCGGGGCTCCGCGGCGCCGGCCTCGGGCGCCAAGGCCAAGAGCCTGGAGGGCGGCGCGGCGGTGCCGGTGGACTACCACCTGCTGATGATGTTCACCAAGGCGGAGCACAACGCGGCGCTGCAGGCCAAGGCCCGAGTGGCGCTGCGCTCGCTGCTGCGCCTCGCCAAGTTCGAGGCGCACGAGGTGCTTAACCTCCACTTCGTGAGCGAGGAGGCCAGCCGCGAGGTGGCCAAGGCCCTGCTGCGGGAGCTCCTGCCCCCCGCCGCCGGCTTCAAGTGCAAGGTGAGCGATGGGTGGCTCGTGTCTCTACCCTTGAGCAGTCTTGGCGGCTCCCGGGCGCGCTGTCCGCCTCCTGTGCCTGTAGTCTGTGTGATTCCCTCCACCCTGCTCTGCACATGCATGCCCAGCATGCTGGAGTTCTGGTCTGGGGGCGTGTCCTAGAGCCAGACTGGCTCAGCCCAATCACAAATGGATCTGCAGTATTAACTAGTCTGTCTCCCGCTCCGCTCCATTCAACACTGCTTCATTCACTGGAGAATCAGCCTGCCCCGTTTTGCTAGCTTCACAGCGTTAATAAGAAGTGCCTTCACAGTCTACATTCCTTTTGATATTCTTTGGCTTCTGAGGATGGAATTGTTCATTTTGAAGACACCGGTAGTCATCATTCTGAACTAAGTGGGCTGGACAGGATCTTGGGGAAGCTCCTAGAGATATCGGAGTTGGACTGGAATTTCTTAGTAGCATTCATGGCATTGCAGTCGGTTTGGTTCTCGGAGTTTCCACCAGATCGTGTCCTCTCTGTGTCCTTTTTCCTTCCTGCCTTTAAGGACATGAGCTAGTCAGATAAGCTGCAGGTTCTGCCTCAAGGGGAAGAGAAAGCTGTGAGCTGACCAGCCTGGCAGTTCCCACCTCTTCCATCCTCTGATTTATCTCCTGCTTCTGCTCTTGACCTAGTGTGCTCGACACCCGAATCGACTTGCTTGCCCTGTTTTGACCCAGTGGTTGTGCAGAGGGGTCCAGAGTCTTGATTTTTGGGTCAGGGTGATCTTAAAGGATGGGACCTGATTGGGGGGGGGGCGCAGAGAGGCAAGACCAGCAAACATTCCCTTGTCTGCCGAGCTTGGTGACTATCAGGACCTGCTGCCAGGAGTTCAGGGGCCCATGGCGTTTTTGTGAGGCTCTGTTGTCAGCCTGGCTTTCTTCTTTGACGGCACCTCTCTTTCCCATAAACGTGCCTATGTCCTCATTTTATTTTATTGTTTGGAGACACTGTCTTGTTATGCAGACCAGGCTATCATCTGAGCTCACAGCCTTCCTGCCATGGTCTCCTGAGCACTGGATTACAGGTGTGTATAACCTCATGTCCTATTGATTTTTTTTTTTTTTTAAGAGGGTCTCACTGAAGTCTATACTGCCCTGGGATCTCATTGTGGAGCTCAGGCTGGCTACAGACTCGTGGCAGTGCTTCTGAGTGCTCCCATTACTTATGTCACATCTGGCTCCTTAACTATTGAGGTGGCCTTACACAAGCTATCTTCTCTTCCTAGAATGTCCCTCCTTCCCTCTTAGGGGACCTTCCACACCCAGTCTTTCATAGCTTCCTCATAGCATTGAAGATGTGTTTTCTGCACTGGATACGTGTGTCTATCAGGATAACTGCTATGGTCAGGAAAGGGTACCTGGGCTGGGATTTCATCCTGTAGGAGGCCTAGGAGCTTCTGGTGAGAGGGTCCCTCTTTGACCAGGGGTTTGTTCCAGAGCCTTGCTTTACTTATCTGAATTTCTCTGTTTGATCCTTGGGACTGGAGAAACGTTACTATTTCAGGGAGGAGGCCACAGGGCCAGTCTAGGCAGATCTTGGATTTCACAAGGTCACCTTGAAGACCAGCATGGTTATAGCCACCTGCTGGGGTAGCAGCTTGGGTCTACTCTACATTTCCAGATGTGTTCTCTCCCTTCATCCCCAGCTGTGGCAGTGCTGTGGTCACACATGTACTACCTTCCAGCCTGCATGCCTAAGCTCATGTCATTCCCAGTGGTGGGGTCCTTGCTGTGTTCCGAGTCCTCCCCCTCTTCCGTACCCTCAGCACCTTGAATGTGTGCGTGGAACCTGCAGCTGGAGTGTGTCTTCATCTTTCCCCGTTGGCCTTTTCTGCGGTGTGCTGTATGTGCTGTGCGTGTCGTGTCACCTGCCCCTACACAATTCCTGCCACATTGCTGGCCACAAGACCAGGCTCCTGTCTTGGAGTTCGCGTTTCCTGCTCTGCAGGCCCCATCTGACAGTCACAAGCCCTCGAACTAAGCTTGGAGGCTGCTGCAGATGACCTGGAGGAATTGTCACTTTCCCTGTTGAGGTATGAAGGTGTGGGCCAGTGGCTCTCAACTTGTGGGTTGTGACCCCTTTAGGAGATCTAACAACCCTTTCACAGGGGTCATCTAAGACTTCCGGAAAACAGATATTTACACTATGAGTCATAAAAGTTTCAATATTACAGTTATGAAGTGGCAATGAAAATAATTTCATGGTTGAGGATCACCACAACATGAACGTTACTAAAGGGTCGAGGCAGCATTAGGAAGGTTGAGAGCTACTGTTCTAACCAGATAGCATGGGTAGGTAAAGGTTTATCAATCTTGGGGTCACATTGCTCCTATTGCTTATGAGTTCATATTTTGTGAACCTGTTTCTGTAATAAGCAGGCTTGCTTCACTTCCTGTGACTTAATTTTTCCTAGGCTTTGGACGGGTCTCACAACACAAGCCATTCATTCCTGCCTTCTACTCTGCCTGAAGTGTGCTCCAGCTGTCCTTCAGGTTTGCAGTAGCAGGCAAGTGCTCTAACACCGAGCCACACCCCCAGCCCTGCTGTGAACTTCTGAAGAAGGCAGGCCCTGGTGTCTCTTAGCTGCATGTCCTTAACCTCTGAAATTGCACCCTTTGTGTGTAATTATTTTTATACAGGGAATTATTTCTTTCAGCATCAGTTAGGAAGAAGGAAATCAGAACTTCTCAAATAGGTTCTGTCAGCTGGAAGGAACCTTCAGGAACACACCACAGATGTGAAGAAGCTCAGCTGGGTAGTGGCGGTGCACACCTTTAATCCCAGCACTTGGGAGGCAGAGGCAGGCGGATTTCTGTGAGTTTGAGATCAGCCTGGTCTACAGAGTGAGTTCCAGGACAGGCTCTAAAGCCACACAGAGAAAACCTGTCTTGAAAAACTAAAATCAAAACAAAAAATGAGACAGCTCACCAAGGCCACTGGGGAGTGACTGGCCTTGAGGTGGGGAAGCATTGGGACTATGGTTTCTGCCTTTAAAGATCACCTTTTCCTGTAAGATAAGGCTCAGAGGACAGCTCATTCCAGGGGATATTGTGTTGGGACTAGAGGGAAGAGGGAGGCAGCTCCTGGGTGCACAGCCTTCTAGAAACAGCTTGGGGCTTGTCCTAGAGAGGAACCTGGGACTCCATCATGTCCACAAGATATCCTCAAGGCTATAGTGAGCTGGCACAGGACTTGTGTCCATGCTCAGAGGTACCTGCCCAGGCCACCTTCAAGTGGAGAACATTATTAGTAAACTTGGGCTATGTTTTGGTTAATTAAATATTAGATGAAAAATCTCATTTTGGCTCTTACAGAACAAAATTTCAAAACTTTGTTAGCTGGTTATGAACTTACTATGGAAGTACTCGTTACTGAACGTCTGGACCTGCTGTGTCCCAGGCACCAATGTGGATGCTTGGATGCTCCATCTTACTCCTCAAGAGTCACACCTGTTCACTTAATAGAGTCCTCTGTCCATCCCCAGTCCCTGGTCCAGACTGTCCTGGGTGGTGCCTAGAATGTACATTTTAGATGGGGAGGTGCAGACATTCCTGGGATGAACCTGATGCTCTCCTGCTGACCTCTGAGAGTCAGCTTAGGTGTCCTGGCTTCTGCTGCCCGGCTGACAGCTCCCTTCTAGCCAAGCCGCCTTTGCCAACACGGGGAGTGGTGCTCTTGTCACCTTTACTGTGTCATTCCCATTTAAGCTTCTTGTGTCCCCCCACCCGCCTCATCCAGCATCCTGGAACCCTGGCGCTGGCCTTGGCTTTTCCTCCTGCTTATCATCCTAGAGCTTGAAAAGGGGGTGCCCCTATCTGTGGATCTGCTTCTGAGCCCCCCCCTTGTCTCTCTATCAAGTGGAATTGCATACTTAATAGAACTTAGGTCAAGACCCCTGACTCCACCCCATCCCTCTTGTGTGTTTTTACTCTGTAGCCCATGATGGTCTGGAATTAAAAATCCTGCTGCTATAGTCTCCTGGTGTTGAGATTATAAGCGTGGACCTCATACCTGGTGAGACTGAGCTCTCCCATTAGCTTTCCTTGATGTTTCAGATTTGAGAGGGCACACCAGGAGTATCTGACAGCAAGCTGGCTTAAACACACGTGGGCTGATTTCCCATTTAAATCATTTGGAGGGAGGAATTTCTGGTTGATATGAGGTTCCTTCTAGATCACTATCTCACCCTCTCCAGGGTAAGCCCTTGTCTTCATGCTTCGATGGCTGTTGAAGCTTGAAGCAGCAAATCTGTGTTTAGCCCCATGTTTCTGTGGCTTTGCTTTTGGACCCAGCTTTATAATGTGGCCCTTCTCTGCTGTCTTCTTGGAAAAATAAACATGGCAAACTCTGAAAAGCGGCCCTACTCCCTGTAGAGCCACTGCTGACACCTCTGGTGATGCTGTTCCTTGTAGCATCCTCCTGAGTTGCAGTATTCTCCTGTGTTATCACCATGCTGTCCTCTCAAATATCACCAACCCTGTTCTAAGCCCCTTTACTAAAGCATCCTCCAACTTTCCTTGTGGCTGATACTTATTTGTCTGTCCATCTGTTCAGCAGATATAGAATGCTTACTCTGGGCCAGGTACTGCTCGGGGCCCTTGTGAACCACAGGAACAGAACAGCCTCTCCCTCACCCTCTTCCCAGCTCACACTCTGGAGTCTTGGAAATGAGTGTGAGATGGACTTTAGACAAATAAGCAAGAAAAGCAAAGCAGGACGAGGAGCTAGGGTGTGAGCAGGTGTCCAGGGTGGGGACTTGGCTGAGACTGAGGGAAGAGGAGAGGGAGCTCCCTGGAGGAGTGACTTTCTCAGAGAGGACTGGGAAGGGGGCTGAGGTGCCAGGGTGCGTCCATGTTTGAGAAAGTGGCTGGTCTTGTTTGCAGCCTTTCTCATCCCTAGAAGGCACAGACGACTTTACTCTTTTAATCTGTCATGTTTTGGGAACTCACAAGTGACACCT